AGTATCACTACGGAAGTAGGATTGCCCAACCTTCCTTCCGAGGAGTGGCTGGTGGGTTTGAACCGCCGGCCTTCTGGTTAGCAATCAAGTGCCTTAGCCACTATGCTACCAGAGCTCCTATATATATATTTAATGAAATCAATTGCTAATTTTGGCCAAAGCTTTTGTAATTAGATAATTACAGTGTTCAGAGTGTGTTGCTTTTCAGAGACTGATAGTAATAAATGTTAAAGTTTCTGCCTATTTTGTTTCAGAAAAATCAGAAGTAGTTCCAGGCTGCCCCTTTATCTATATCATCCGGAAGGATGTGGATGTTTATTCTCAGATTTTGAGAAAACTTTTCAATGAATCCCATGGGATCTTTGTGGGCCTCCAAAGAATTGAAGAAGAATTGACTGGCAAATCCAGAAAAGCTCAGTAAGTAGGCTGCTGATAGTTCCGGAATTTATAGCTACATTGTGAAAAGCCAGATGAAATGCCTCCTTGTCCTTTCACACGATGGACAAGTTGCCTGGAGAAACAAGAAACCCTGGGTCTAGTTTGTGGCCTCAGGAATGGAAGTGTCCATAGGGATATGGGGGTGGCCATTGATTGCCTGCTGGCTTGATAAGCTGTCTTGTTTATAGTCCTCCTCGCTTACCTTCCAAGGAAGAGGAAAAGTCAGATAAGCACTTGAGAATCACTGAGTAAGGGTCCACTGTTGGGAGATTTGGAAATGAACATAAAAAGGACAGTTTCATTTTGTCTTTGAAGAATTGCTTTCAAGGCCTTAGGCAAGAGACCGAAACACTCAGTGTGTCCTGAGTGCAGTGTCCCATGGGGTTCATGATGGGCAGGTTTTGTTACTGGTGATGTTGACTCTGACCACTTGGCTAAGGTGGTTTCTGCTGGATTTTCGCTCTGATGTCACCACTTTTCCTTTTGTAGTTAGTATCTTGGGATAAATATTTTGAGACTGTGTAAATCTTGTTTCTCCTCAAATTTTTACCCACTGGTTTTGGTGTCCACCTGTGGATCTCATCCACGGTAGTAACTATGGTCGTGTTAGTGTGGGGTGACTTCCCTTCTACATTTGTTAATTGGAATTCTACTTCAGGGAAGAGCTGTCCCACCTCCCCTTTTATGTATGTAAGCAGTTGCCAATCTCGGTCAATATGGATTCATGGATATTTATTTCATTCTGTGGCTTATACCATATTTTAGTGATTTTGTTGATCACATTGTTCCAACTTTGGCCATTTGGAGCTCCTCAAGTTGGCTCCTGATTCTTTCAGCAAGTACCTATCTTTTTTCATCTGCTTGCTAACTTTCTGGCACCATAAGATGCTCCAGGTTCACCTTGTATGTCTTTTCAATGTTTTGCAGATTGGTTCGAGTTAGCAAAAACTACCGATCAGTCATAAGAGCATGCATGGAGGAAATGCACCAGGCGGCAAGTAAGGATTTGTTGCATGTGTGTTATACGTTTGCAGATAACATTTGCGTTTAACAATTAGTCCATGGGACTAGTAGACCATGTGATCCTCAGCCTATATGACCATGAGACCAGAAGAACTAGATGGTGCCCAGCTACTACTGTCAACCACTCAGAAAGGAATCAGTGCGGGAGATCCTAGATAGCGTGGGAGAACGATGTGCAACAAAACTCAAAATCGTGAAAAAAAAAAAAAGACCAGGTTTGCTGGTCTGATAGAGCCTGGTGACACCTCCAAGACTGTGACCCCTAGTTATCCTTCAGGTCTGGAACTGGACTCACTCCTGTGACTTCCAGCCAAACAACAGACAGGCATATGGAGTGAACATTTCCATCAGGTAGATACACTCCTTATAGCATAAATTGTGGGAGAACAGAAGGGCAGTGTTCGCACAGAGAAATAGCTGCGGGGGATGGGAGTGAAGGACCCAGGGAAGGTGTAAGTATGGAGAGGAAATGAGAAAAGAGCTGTTACATTGTGAGGAATTGTAGGCGTGTCATGAAACTAAATGTGTGTGAACTGCTGTATGGAAAATCAATTTGCTCTGTAAACTTTCACCCAAATCACAATAAAAACTTAAAAAAGCAGACAAAAAATTTGTTTGAAAATTTATATTTGGATAAATTATATAATCCATATCCTTTTAGTTCTTACATGTGAAATCAGTATTTGAAGTTCTTTTTTGTGGAAGTATGTGGCTGTAAATATCATAAGATTAATCTGATATTCCAATCCAAAACTCATACTTTCGCTTTAAAGGAAAAAAAAATAGTTGCCATCAAGTTGATTTGGATTCGTGGCAGCCGTGTTTGTGTCAGAGGAGAGCTGTACTCCGAGGGTTTTCAGTGGCCAGGCCTTTCACCCGAGGTGGCCCCGGGTGGACTCAAACCTCCAATCTTTTGGTTAGCAGCTAAGTATGTTAACTGTTTGCACAACCCAATGATTCCTTCCCATTTGTACAATCTTTAATTGTTTGGCATTCATCTTGAGTAATTTTTCAAGTTAGAACACATTGAATCAATTGGTTGAAAGGTATGAGGTTAAAGGGCCAAATCAAGGATCTTCAGGTCTTGCATTCTCAGTTGTCATAACCACAGACACCACGTGATTCCTGGATGTCTGGGAGCGTCTACTAGAACGTGATGCTGCATCCCACAGCTTCAAGGTTGCTGCTTGTAACTTGACTAGTTTAGGAATCACTGATCTACAGCAAAGGATATAAAAAAAACCAAACTCATTGCCATCAAGTCGGATCCGACTCATAGCAACCCTCATTGGGTTTCTGAGGCAGTATCACTATGGAAGTACATTGCCCAATCTTCTTCCTTCAACAAAGGATATGAAATGTTAAAAAAAAACTACCCTATGGTGAAGACAGGTGATCATTAAAAGGAAGAGAGGCACAAGAAGCCATACAGCATGGGACTATGAAATTCTAACAACAAAACGAGAAGTTCCATCACTCACTTGAAATGTTCTGTTTTGTTAGTTGCTGCTAAGGACCCAGCCAGTGGCCGCCAGTTCAGCAGCCAGGTAAGGGGGCGTGGGGCACATTTCTTGTATGGGCGGTACTACCTCTTGGTCCTCACACCCACGTGGGCATCTTTGCAGTCGCCTCTATTGGCAGAAGTCCCTTCTCACGTACACAGTTCCTTGGGGTAGGGATTGTCTCTATCTTCCTGATGCCCTTTCAGTTGAAGGCCTGGCACGTTCCTTACAGGACAAAGACATGTTTGGCGAAGACTTACATAGGAGTTTTCAGTTCTTATGGGAAATGTAATCCCTAAATGTCCTGTCGTGATGCAGTTCTCCCTAAGCACTATGGTGCTCTTGGAACCACCACTTAGTCTTGTCAGCTATGTGCAATCGGCAGTTTACTGAGCTGCAAGCATTACACTGGACCTGGGGCTGGAAGATCACTTACAAACTGTTTATTTGGTAAAAGATATTTTTCAAACGCAGTAGTGAATTGGGACAGATACGCTGTCTGTGGAGTCAGTCGGGCATTTATGTCCCCCCAGAGACTAAGGTGTGCCGGTGTCTAGGTGGAAGGGTGGTGGCAGAGGGGAGCTCCCTGTTGCTCAGGGCAGGGTCCACATCTGTATTTTGAGATCTTGTAGTGGACTTTGTTTTTCATAGACTTTCCTGAACCTCAGTCCTTTGAGTACCAACTTCATGCTTTTTGCTGTATCCACAAGTTTATATTATTTACTAAATATTTTTCTAAAAATTCTCTCTTCCATGTTACTAAAATGAGGCCTCTTTCTAAACCATAATGGGTATGTTACATTAGATTTTTCTAATGTGCCTTAAATTAAAACCACAGTCATTAAAATAAGAAAATGTGAGTCTGCATTCCACCATCTGAAATTCCCTCCCTCGCTGCCCATGGGAAGCCTGCTAGAGCTGTAAGTGCTGGATTGCTGAACAGCTGTCACGGGCTCAGAGCCCTCTGTTCTTGGCTCTGAGGGATGTTTTCCAACGAAAACCTTGTCTCCCATACTCCGTAGGTCTCCATCTTGTCTGCCATGGAGCTCATTTGGAATCTCTGTGAGATTCTTTTTATTGAAGTCGCCCCAGGTGAGCATGGAACAGTCCTGTCACAACGTCCAGGCACCCTCTGCTCTTCTCTCTTTGTCTCTCCTGTGTACTGTGATGGGTATTTGGGTGGGTACAACCTTCTTTCCAGTGATTTTCATCACCATAACCATTGGAAAGCATTACTAAACACCCCAAAAAGCCTTGAGTTAGGTCAGATTCTGCAAAAAGAAACAGAGTGCCTTCTGGAAGCCTAAAATGTTATGCCAACCCCCTCAGAAAAGCATTGAGGGAATAAACATTCAACTAGTGTGTGGAAGAGGTGGGCACTGTTCTGTTGTGCATGGTCAAGGTTAATGTTTTAGGGATATGAGGAGGGGTTCGGCTGTCGGAGGCAAAGTGGCTTTGAGAATCCTGTGGCTGGTGATGGGTGTGGGGAGACCCTTGCATGCACTCTGTCTGCTCGGATCAGTGTTGTCACGGATCAGCAGCTGGGCTTCAGCGGGCTCTCTGGAAGTGTCGTGGGCGTCTCTGCCTGCCTTCAAGTGACTTATTTGCTGCTGTTCGTAGGTGGATGCTCACTCTGTGCAGCCATGACATTTGATTGATACTCCTGCTGAAGCCTTGAACAACTTCAGTGTAGTCATTAGCATGGCTCAGATTCCTGACCCACTGCAAGTGTAAGATGGTACAGTGTGCCATTAAAACAAAGGAGTATTGGTCAGAGAGGGAGGGCTGTCACTGTTTTGGTATCGTGGTGTGCCTACTACCTGGCCATCACTTAAATAGCCATCACGTATTACATGGTAATGAGGTATCTGGCTTTGGGAGCGTGGGGTCTGGGGCCTGGGGCCGCCTTGCCAAGGGACTGTTCAGTAGTAGTTAGCCCTTTCCTAGTCCAGTCCTTGATTCAGGGCCCTGCGTGTGCTCACCGATGAGGGATGAACCACTGCTGGTGCGTCTGCCTTGGTGTCCGTCAGTGATGTGGGAGTGGGATTTGCTGCCAACGCAGCTGAGGCTGGGTGTGTCATGAGTGTCTCTCCTTGGCAGCCGGCCCCCTCCTCCTCCACCTCCTTGACTGGGTCCGTCTGCATGTGTGCGAGGTGGACGGTTTGTCAGCAGATGTTCTGGGCAGTGAGAATCCAAGCAAGCATGAGAGCTTCTGGAACTTGGTGAGGGCCACGTGTAGGCCGGGAGTCTGTCGTCCCTAGGTGCTCGGGCGGGCTGGGGTTACCTGCAGAGCCTGTCGGGCTGCCCGGCTCTTTGAGTCTGTGGCTGTGGATATGCTTAGGTCCCTTCTTCTGCTCCATGGGGACAGAGGACCGTGGTCCCTGCAAGGAGCGTGATGCTCTAGAGCCCCTCCCGGTAGCTCTGAGGAGGAGGGGCTGTGAAGACTTCACTGGGGGTGGGGGCTGAGTCTGTCTGAGGGGTGGGAAGCCCTGTGTGGCTCACAGGGACCAGCCTGCCCCCACGAGTGCACATGGTCTTTGTGTCTTCCCAGGTGACCATCTTGGTGCTGCAGGGCCGGCTGGATGAGGCCCGACAGATGCTGTCCAAGGAGGCTGATGCCAGCCCTGCCTCAGCGGGCATGTGCAGAGCCCTGGGGGACCTGATGAGGACAATGCCCATTCTTAGTGTAAGTGGTCCTGGGAGCAGGGTCCCTGGGGAGCACCAAGGGCCATGTGGCCTGATGTGCACAGCCTGTCTCCCCGTAGCCTGGCAACACGCAGACTCTGACGGAGCTGGAGCTCAGGTGGCAGCACTGGCACGAGGAGTGTGAGCGACACCTACAGGACGGCACGTTCGCCTCCAGCCCCCGCCTGGGTGCGCTCTGTAAGGTCTGTGGGTGCAGCCTGGGCTGGGGCCAAGCGTGCAGGCTGGCTGTCCCGCAGCCGTGGTCAGCACAGCTGTGGCAGAACTGTCCTCCCGGGATGGCGCGCTCCGTCAGCCCTGCTGGGAAGACAGCTCTCAGACTGGTATTCGCGCTGAGATCTGCCGTTGGCCAGTCTGAAGGAGGGAGGAGGAACTGACAGAGGAGACGCCCCGAGATGAGCACGGAGCTACGCGTCCGTCGCCCTAGTGCTCAGGGGCAGACTCTCCCCTCAGATCATGCTGGGAGATGAAGAGGCCTTGTTGGAGCAGAGGGAGCTGCTGAACAACTGGTACCATTTCTTGGTGACTCGGCTGCTGTACTCCCACCCCACAGTAAAGCCCACCGAGCTGCACATCTATGCCCAAGTGAGTCCGAGCTCCACGAGGGGTGGCTCCTGGAGACCTGGTCCCCGTCGGTGGTTTTCCGTGGGTGGTGGGAATAGGTAGGGGCTTTCCTTGGGCCCTTTTTGAAGGACCATCACCCTTCTCCAGGGTTCCTACACAGCAGCCCTGCCTCCCCCCTGGAGTCTCTGCTTCCATCCTGGGGACTGAGTGGGTCATCACCTTTCCACAGTCCAGCCTGGACCTGTTTCTGGGAGGGGAGAGCAGCCCAGAACCCCTGGACAACATCTTGATGGCAGCCTTTGAGTTTGACATCCATCAGGTGATCAAGGAGTGCAGGTAGGACCCCTTTCCCCATGCTCCTTCTTGCCACAGACCTGCCCCTTTGCCCAGCCAGGTGGAGGCAGATGATGGCTCCTCTCTGAACAAGCGAGGACCTTCCTGAGGCTGGAGGGCTACAGTATTTATAAAGAGGTGTCAAGAATGTTTGTTTAAAATCACTTTGCAGGAAATGACGTGGTTTTAAAAATCTAGAAAAAGCAAGCAGGCCTGTTTCTTGGAAGCTGATGGACACACAGGCACCTTAGGGGATACCACCTGCCAGCAGTCACTCACTTGTGAGTCATGGGGCTCGTTAGGGCTATTTCCAGAGCAGGCACTCTGCTCCAGCCCCTCTCCAGAAGGAAGCCCATCATTGCACTGAACCTGGGAAGTTCTAAAGCCACAGGCAGGAAAGGGAGTGTCAAACAAAATGAATCCAAAGTGCAGCTTCCTGGAAACGTCCACACATTGTGGGCAGGATGTCACTCCTCTGTGCAGCCTGCAGAAGTGCGTGTGTCACTGAGGGCTGCCCTGAGCAGGGAGTGTTGCCTTGAGCATCAGGTGGCCTTGCCCATGTGGCATCTCACCAACCTCAACTGTGTCTTTTTCAATAGATCTGGCTCCCCTGTGCTACCTGCTTTTCCTGATCAGGCCCCCAAAAGCCAGACGTTTGAGAAAAGGACGCTAGTTTGAGGGAAGAAAATTGAGTTTTGTGTCAGTATTCTTTTCACGGGCCTGTTAAGTACTGAATGGCTGGTGAGAGCGTGTGAAGGAGTCAGTGAGAGTAACGTGCAAAGCAATACCTCAGTGCCTGGTTTTGCCAGTGTCTCCGCCTGTAGTTCTAAGTAGTCAGTATTCCAAAATACACTGTCTGTTAACGGCGGCTATTTCCACCAAAGCTTCCTGTGAGGCACCTCTGGATTTTTAGGAACTTGAGCAGAATGAGCAGGAGGAGGAACTGTGAGCAGAAACGTCGTCCTGTGGTTTTCACGGAAAGAAAACTGGAGCCAAGCCAGGGAGGAGTCACATTCCCGAGGCCCCCAGGAAGTGGCGTCACTCTGGCTAGTGAGAGACTGGGGGTGATGTGCAAGTGAGGCACGTTCTGCCCTCTTTGGCAGGACAGGCTCTGAGGGATTTCCATCAGTTGTGGCTCTTGGGGCTTGGATATTTCTGATCAGGGAGCTACCTCTGTCCTTTTCTGAAGGAGGTAGAAAAGCAAATCTTAAGACCCCATCCCAGGAAATTAAAAAAAGGCCAGAACTGCCTCCTGGGACAGAGCAGCATGTCGCACCTGTGCCCCCGGATGGTGACGGACTGGCCTTTGGGTTCTGTGAGCACTTGGTTCTCATGGGTTGTATCAGTCAGACCCCAGTGTGGCTCCTGAGGGGCTGGCAGGAGCCCATCTCTGGGGTTGGACCCGTGGGCTAATGTGAGGGGACGCTGTGCTGTGTGGGTGTGATGTTCACTGGGCTCGTGGACCTGCCCTGTTAAAGGTGAAGGAAGGGCATCATTGCCAAGGGCGCCAGGAGGGAGGTTTCTCAGTGGGGCCTGATCAGCCCATGTCGACCGCGCCCCACCTGCAAGGACAGGACGACAGTGTGTCACGCAGCAGAGCAGAGCGGCCTGTGGGGGCCCTGGTTCATCAGCCCCCACGGGGGGCCTGTTTGCCTCCTGGCCCGTTCAGGCGTGCTTTCTCCTGATACCCCTGACAGCAGGAATCTTCCCTCTGGTTTCTGCTTCCTCTGAAGAGGGGCCAGTTCCTTGCTGTCTGGCAAAAGGAAGCATGGATCTGGCAAGCAGTCCTGGAATCCTTAAAGTCCTTGAGAATTCTTGAACTCAAAGGAAACAGGTCTCCTTTCAAAAACCAAGGGGGCCAGTTTCACGTTTTGCCTAGTTCTTCTGACCAGTTCTCCAGCCCAGCCGGGTGCAGCAGTGTGCGCCCTATCGGCAGAAGGGCAGGTGCTCGGCCACCAGCGTCTGGCTGGTCGTGGGGGGAGGGGCTGAAGTTACAGCAGGGCTACCCACAGGCAGGGCACAGGGGTGGGGAGAGGGGGACAGCAGGCCCAGCCCGGGGCCTCTCATGCAGGGAAGACACTGGTTGCCTCGAGGTTCTTGCCCTCACAGCAGCTGGTCCGGCTCCACAGGGTTTCCCCAGATTTCAGCAGAGGTCACTGTTACACCTCCGCCATCCTTCAGATAGCCCCTGCCCTGGTCCCGTGCCCTTGGTTCTAATACGTGTGTGAAGATGAAGCTCTGTGGTTGAGATTCCTTTGGCCTCTCGGAGCCTGCACCGGCCTAGCAAGCACTTGGTTATCCGCCTCCAGGGGCCACTGCCTTCCCGCTGTGCAGGCCGTTCTTGTCTTGGGGAGACTTGCAGAGCTGTAGTGCCTTTGGTTCTGTGTCTGGGTAGCATTTCTGTGTAGCCTGAGCCCCGGAGGACCTGCAGCCTCCTTGCAGGCTTCTCCGGCCGTTTTGCCATAGATGTCAACAAGAAGCCTGGGTCAAAGCAGGTGTCCTGGGCGGCTGAGGTCGTGCTGTTTCTCAACCACCCGCTCCCTCATTGCGTGTGGGGTCCCTTCCCTACTGCCTTCTTGCCTTGTGTCTGACCCACAGCATCGCCCTGAGCAACTGGTGGTTCGTGGCCCATCTGACTGACCTGCTGGATCACTGCAAACTGCTCCAGTCTCACAACCTCTAGTAAGTGGGCAGGGGCCCACCAGGCTCTCCCCGCCACCCGGATCCTCGAGGGCTGGGCTTGGGAGGAGCCCTGGGAGGAGCCGCGGTGGTCGCAGTCTCAGTTATGTTTCATTCCAGTTTCGGCTCCAACATGAGAGAGTTCCTCCTGCTGGAATATGCCTCCGGCCTGTTTGCTCATCACAGGTGGTGTGGGACCTGTTGGTTCGTCATGGGCAGGTGTGGGGTGGGGCGGAGTGGGACTAGGGCACTCTTTAGCACTTGGGTGCTCCTGGAGCTTGGACTGCGTCCTCTCCCAGAGTCCCCTGAAGGCTGCAGAGGGGCTGGGGGAGGAGGAGCCTCTGGTGCCAGTCCCCAAAGCTGGCCCCTGGGCTTGCTAGCCCCTTCAGGCCTGTTTTCAACCTTTGCAGCCTGTGGCAGCTGGGGGTGGATTACTTTGATCACTGCCCTGAGCTGGGCCGAGTCTCCTTGGAGCTGCACGTTGAGCGGATCCCTCTCAACACGGAGCAGAAAGCGCTGAAGGTGCTGCGGATATGTGAGCAGCGGCAGATGACTGAACAGGGTGAGCTGGTCTTGTTCCCAGCATGCCCTCTGCTGTAGGCGGGACCGCCTCCTGCCACGAAATGGGTGCTGAGAGGGAAACGAGACACAGGACACTTCTTGGGGAGGGACGCAGGGGCTAGGTGTTCCCTGGGACCTGGAAGAAACCAGGTTAGCTGCCTTTCAGAACAGGTTCTGAGCCACTTCTGTGTTCTGTCGTACTCACGCTGAGGTCAGGTCTGGGGCCAGCGCCGAGGGTGCCTGTCCTGATTCGGTGGAGAGGCTGTGCTGAGGGCTCAGGAAGAGCCCAGGCCGAGATGGGGGTGAGCAGGTCGCCCCCTCTGTCCCCTTACTGGTGGATGAGAAAACCCCCAGGTACTGCCCTTCAGAGGCCACTCTGGAAGCAGGTGGCTTTCAGACCCAAATGACAAAACAAGTGACTTCACCACCCCTGGAGTGACGTCTACTCAGGAAGCCAGTCCTGTGGCTGTGCTGTTGGCAGAGTAAGACAGTTAACAAACCTGGGTTCCGGTTTGGCCACCGAGCCATGTGTGGAGCACGGGGGGCCTGGGTCGTGGTGAGGCCGTGGAAGACCTGCTCCAGTCCCAGCAGGTTTAGGAATGGAGAGCTTTGTAGGGTGAGAGGGCTCACCTGTCCTCTTCCCTGGTGAAGTTCGCAGCGTTTGTAAGATCTTGGCCATGAAAGCTGTCCGCAACAATCGCCTGGGCTCTGCCCTCTCCTGGAGCATCCGAGCCAAAGATGCCGCCTTTGCCACGCTCGTGTCAGACAGGTGGGTTCACCGGGCCAGGGGCTGGGGGCCTGCACCTGTGGCTCTCCTCTCACTCGGCCCGGGCTCCATAGGTTCCTCAGGGATTACTGTGAGCGAGGCTGCTTCTCTGATTTGGATCTCATTGACAACCTGGGGCCAGCCATGATGCTCAGTGATCGACTGACATTCCTGGGTGAGTTGTTTTGGGCTCCACACCCTGGACCATGGGCACAAATGGACACTTGGGAAGATTGGAGGGATCCTACCGGACTTCTCTACTGTTAATTCCTGTTAAGCCCCGAACTCCAAACCATTAGAACCCTGCATGCCAGACTCTGCAAGCCTGTTTTCTGGTTAAATTTTGTTTTCCAGTAATTTCAGACATACAGAAAAGCTACAGAAAACCAGCGTATGGATAATAGCTCCCATCGGGCTTTGCCCACATTGATGACCGACTTGTTTTGCATCATGTATTTTTCTTTTCCCAACAGCCAAACATTTTTATTGAAACTGTCTGAGAATAGGTTGGAGACATTGTTCCCCCTTTGCATTGATCCTTCATGTGCATTTCCTAAGAACAAGGATATACTCTCACATAAGCACATTGCAATTGTCACACTCGGGAGACTTAACACAGTGCACTGAGCCAATCCACAGTCCATCTTCCAATCACATCATTTGTCCCCGTCACGTCTTTTACATCTGTTTGCCCCCATTCAGGATCCATTCTAGATCACTAATTGCGTTTAGTTGTCATGTCTGCCTTTCTCGGTGTTTCTTGACATTTCAGCAGCATCAGGCCAGCTGTTTTGTAAATGTCTTCATTTGGGGCTTGTCTGGTGTCTCCTTGTGATTCTGTTCAGGTCCCTTGTATGTGCCACTGAAGTGACACTGGCTCCCTCTCAGTGCTGGGTGTCCGTTGTTGGTGATGCTGCCTTTGATCGCTGGTCAAAGCGGAGCCCCCAGGTTTCTCCTCTGTGAGGGTGGTTTTTCCTGTGGATGTAATGACTTGTGATGAAACGCTAAGATTGTTTTCAAGTCCTGGCTTCATCAGACTCTCACTGGCAGCCTTCGCAAGTCCTGGGGGTTTTCTCACTCCCGTCCTTCCTTCCGTTCTAGTTGCCCTCCCACTGTAAGGAAGAGCCTTCCCTCCGTCTCCATGTGGCTTCCATCAGCACAGCCTGCAGATGGCTGTTTGCATATAACCCAGGGCTCAGTTTAATGCCTGCAGTTTCCAGATCTGCCTTTGGGGCCTTTCATTGTGTGTGGAGCCTGTGTGGTCTGCATCTCATTGGTTCATGGGCTTGCAGACGGCTCCAGGGGAATCTCCCTGCTCTGGAGGGTGCCTGTTCTCTCTGTGGGGCAAGGGTGACTGGTAGGTGTCACCTGGGGGCCATTCTGGGGCACATGGAGGTGACCTCGGCTCTTCTCCCAACAGGAAAGTACCGCGAGTTCCACCGACTGTATGGGGAGAAGCGCTTCGTTGCTGGCGCTTCTCTTCTGCTGTCGCTGATGACCTCGCAGATTGCCCCCCGCTCTTTCTGGATGACTCTGCTGACAGACGCCCTGCCCCTTCTGGAACAGAAACAGGTAACGGTTGTGTCCACCGTTCCGTCTCTGCGTTTCTGTAGGCCGTATCAGTGTGTTCTCCAGGAAATGACCCCATTTGAGCTGAGGCAGCTGACTACCGACAGCGCTCAGCCAGGGCCTGGGCAGAAGGGCTGGGCGGGGGCCGGGGGCCACTCTGCCCTCCAGGGCTTCCTGCGGAGCCCACAGGAGGAGCACGCGGAGTTCGGGCCACCCCACATCCACCACTCGCCCCCAGGTGATTTTTTCAGCAGAGCAAACCTATGAGCTGATGAGGTGTCTGGAAGACTTGACCATGGGAGGGCCGGGACGTGGTGAGCCCGACGGCCAGGGGCCCCAGGTGAGAAGCCCACTGACCCCACACGACATGGGAGACGCTCCCTGTATGCCCAGCAACACCAACCAGCCCCTCAAAACTCCACGTGCCTCTTGAGCATCTCTTAGCCTGTAACCACAATGCACTAACTTTTTAGGAGAAAATAGGTATTGCCAGCATTCTGGCCTCTACCCTTCTCTTTGCTGAAGATCGGAGTCCTCATTTGCAATGGCCCTTTGAATACTGCTGTCTCTTATATTAAGGAGCTCTGGTGGTGTAGTACCCAAGGCATTTGACTGCTAACCATAAGGTTGGCAGTTCAAATACACCAGCCACTCCGTGCAAGGAAGATTCGGCAATCTACTTCTGTGAAGATTACTGCCTTGGAAACCCAAAGGGGTTTGCTGTGAGTCGGGATCAATGGCAACTGAGTTTGTCTCGTGTGTTGAGAACTTGTTGGAAGTTACTGCTGAATGCAGAAATGCCTTCTTCCCTGTCCAGCTCTGGAGTAGACAGAACCTACCTCAGCATTAAGTACTTCCTGGTGGGGCCTCACACTGGCACTTTGCTTCTAGGATGACGACATAGAGACCACAAAGGTGGAGATGCTGAGATTGGCGCTTGCACGAAATCTCGCTCGGGCAATTATCAAAGAAGGCTCTTTGGAAGGCTCCTGAGGCCAGAGGCAGCTGCCCCAGTGTGTGGCTCTGTGGAGCAGATATGTTTTTAAAAGAATTAAATGTTCTTTTGCAAATACAAGGCGAGTTCTTAGGGTGCAGTCAGAGAGGTTTTGTCTGTATCCACCCTGAAGCCAAGTGAAAATAGGACCATCTTCTCATCTCCTTAGACACCCCCAGAATGGCGAGCATTGGGCCCTTCTGCTTCCGATTTGAAATGAACGCCCAGGGGGCCTGCCCATGCTTGTGAAATCTGGCCATATTGCAGAATCTTGTGTAACACTTGATAAATCACTAGATGTCCTTTTAAAAAGGAGGGCTAGGAACCAAGCATGTGGGTGTGGGAGGAGAATGGCCCCAGGTCAATTAAAATTGGGCAAGTCTAGCACATCCTGGGAGCTCTGGTAGCATATTGGCTAAGACACTTGCCTGCTAACCAGACGGCTGGCAGTTCAAACCCACCAGCCACTCCTCGGAAGGAAGGTTGGGCAATCCTACTTCCGTAGTGATACTGCCTCGGAAACCCAAGGAGGGGTCGCTATGAGTCGGGGCCGACTCGACGGCACATAACAACAACAACAACAGCACATCCTACCTAGTCCTTAGATAGGGGGCACCTGCCCTTTTTCCCCAGGGTGGGTGGTACCTGCAGAAGATTCCAAATAGGGGACATAGTTTTATTTAACATGCAGCAAAACAAGGGCAGCAGAGTTGATATCTCCAGTACAAGGGTTTGCCCCGAAGCAGTGACCTCACTAGGAAGAGGGACCCTCATAAGTAATCTGAATGTCTAGAGCTTATTGTAAGGTACAGTTCCAGAGTGAGCCCTGGTCTTCCCAGGGCTGCAGCAGCTGGCCTCTGGGAAACTCAGATTTACTCTTTCAGTCATGAAATTGACTCCTGATCAGTCCCCAGTGAAACTCACTTGAAGACTGGGGGTGGGGGGACTGGCAGGGTAGATGAGCTCGATACAGAAAAAATAAAACTAGGGAAGAGTCGGGGAGTAGCTTATACCACCTTTCCCCGTGGATGCCTGAGGACTGAACTGTCCAGCTGGGCTGAGCTAATAAGCCCCTTGCTCTTCCCTAGCCTGTCAGCTGGCGGTTCCACTTCCTGTTGGCCAGTTGAGCCTAGAGTCACTGGCCAGGACTGAGTCCACAAGGAGGGGGAGCTGGGTCTGAGGACTGTTGAAGCAACAGGGTCTGCCCCAAACCTCCCACCTCCAGACCTAGCATTTTGCCAACAGAGCCCTTAGCTGGGGGTGGCTGGGGTTTCTGGGAACTCTGATTAACATGAAAAGACTGAGTCTAGTGCAGGGCCCTGAGGCCAAGGCCCATGTGCCGCTGTGAGTGCTACACCAACACTGTCAGACGGGAGGATGCCGAGGGCAGTGGGGCTGTCCTCCCCTCAGACAGGCCAGGCCACTCATCTGTGTCATGCCAAGCGAGAGGTAGTGAGTAGGGTGGCCTGGGCCAGGGCAGGCGGTGCATCTTCACGGAAAGCTGAGCAGCCGCTTCCAGATGAGGAAACACTGGTGGCTTCTCGTCCCTCCTTCCTGTCCCTCCCTAGTTGGGGATCATGAGGATTCCACGCCCACTGAGCCCAGCCTGCTACCACCAGGGACAGACGCACACAACTCGTCATTCGAGGCTGCACTGTCCTCAGTATCTGTTCTAGGATGCCACCGCCCACAGACAGCAGGCTTGGAGGCTCCACAGCACATGATTCTTGGCTCTGTGCCACCCGCATTCCTGGCCCCACTTGGCCCACCTGCTGGAGGTGGGGGCAGGAGCCTGCCAGCCGGGGAGACCAGCCACAGGACAGAGGAAGCACAGGAGGGCAGGAGGGTAGGAGCACGAGGATGTAGTTCTCAAGGGGCAGGGATAAGTCTCTGGGGATTCCCCCATGGCATCTGGGAATGCCAATACAAAGGAGGGGGGGACCTCCTCAAGCCTTGGACCAGGGTCCAGGACAGAAGGTGAGTCAGGGGCCACTTATCACCCCTGACAACCTATGGCCGCTTCAAGTCACGCAGGTCGATAAAAACAAGTTCTCTTAGGGGCCAAAGGAGGAGCAACTAGGACAGCAATAGCTCGGTGCCCAGGGCCCCTGTTCCACATCAAAGCTACAGGACTCCGTCAGGACACAGGCAGACGCACCCGGCACCGCCCAGCTCGGGCAGCCTCCTGGGCTTCCCGAAAGTGGAGAGGCCGGCGTCCTCCAGGGTCATAGACTGCCCCACCGCTCCACGGGAGGGAACTGGTCCACCTCGCCCACCTCCGTGCTCAGCTGTTCCCCCAGGGCGAAGGTCAGCCGGTACCGAAGCCGCACCTTCTCCTGGAACAGAGGGGAGCCCGTGAGGCCCCGCCTGCACCTGGATGCCCTTTCCTTGGCACCCGCCCTTCCCGTCCCAGAGGGATGGTCACTGCTCCCACCCCACCTGGCACCTTGGTCAGGCCTGGCCCTTGGGTGGAAAGGGGACATTCATTACCACTGCAGTGTCACAGTGCTTCGAGTTTGGAGGCTTGGGGGGTGGGAGTCCCCAGGTCCTCACAGCAGTGGGCTCACCTTCAGTGGATTGGCCAGCAGCATGACCTGGGTGATGGCTGCGGGGGGCTGGATGGGGCTGAAAGGAGAGAGTTCTGTCCCTGAGGGTGGCTGCAACTTCACTTTCATGGACTAAAGACGGAGAGAGGGGAGAAGTGCCTTAAAGGAGAGCTGGCAGGTAGCCTCGAGATGGCACTGGGCATGGCTGGAGTGGCCATGCACGCGCTGCCAGCTGCCGGCCCTGGAGGCCCAGGGAGCGGGGCAGTACCTTGGGCACAGCTGCCTGCAGCACGATGCTCCTGACGGGCAGGGGGGCCGTGTTCAGCATGGACACCACCACAACCAGCACGTCGGGCCGCCCTGGCGGGCACTCCTTAGCAAAGTGGAAGAGGATGCGGAAGCCATTCTTATCGTAGGCTGTCACGGGAAGGGCACTGCCTGCAAGAAGGTGGCGTGTGGGTGTGGGAGGAGAATGGACCCAGGAATCCAGCAGCCCCAGGGGGAGCACTCAGTTCCAGGAGGTTCCGCTTCTGCACGTGGTTCCCCAGGGGTCTGCGGGAGAACCCTTGTCACGAGGGTCCTGAACGTAAGTCACTGCGAGCAGCAGAGGCCAGGCCAGCAGGATCGAACCTGGTACTAAGAGATCCCGAAGGGAGGCCCTGAAGCCCTTCCTCCCACCGCCCAGAGCTGCCACGTGGGCTCCACCTGCCCTCCCACCTCCAGCCTCCAGCACCTACTAGGCTTGATGGATTCCAGGGGAACGTGGACACTGGCCAGGGAGAGCTCAGGCCCCTTCGGAGGGCTGCCCTGGGGCTGGAAGAGGGGACTGCCAGGCCCGGCGGCAGGGAAAGGGAGCAGTGGTCTGGCTGAGGCACTGGTGGGGAGGAGAGGGGAGGGTGTGGCCTCAGGGAAGAAGCTGGAGGAGATGGGCTTCATGAAGCCTGAGGTCCTAGGAAGGAGGGCAGACGTCAAGTCAGTAGGCTGAACTGCAAGCCAGCACCTCCCTGAGGCTCCCACCCTCAGCCAGGTTCCTGCCTCCTATCAGACCAGAGTCCTCCTATCAGACAGCGTCCCACCCCTGTGGAAGGCTGCTTGCTGCCTGACTGTGCCAGGGCCCAGGCCTAACCTCCGCCAGCCTCTCTTCCCCTGCCTTACGCTCTGGCCTCTTCCACAAGCTGGTCGAGGGCATCCGGCTGGTGCAGGGTGCTATCGCCCAGGGATGAGCCATGGTACCCAGGGGCTGCTAGCTCAGCCTTTGGGCCCGGAGCTGTGGCCAGTCCAGTGGAGAAGAGGAAAGAGCCCGGACTGGGGGCAGGAAGGCTGGCTGGGACGCCAGGAGCCGGGAAGGAAGGCGGCAGCGGTGCTTGGGAGCTGCTTGTGGGTGGGGCTGCAGGCTGGCGGGGAGGGCCGTCTGTGCAGCTGCGGGCAGTAGGGCCCAGCTGGGGGCCAAAGAAGTCCAGGGCAGGCTGCTCGTTCTGTCGGGAGTGGAGAAGGTGGGTGAGCACAGGGGAGGTCCGCTGCCAGACACGGGGCTGCGGCTCGCCACCCACCGGCCCTCCCGCTCTGGGGAACTGGAGGAGGAGCCCCTAGGAACACGGCCTGAGTAAAGCACGCTGAGCTGAGGCAGAGCCCCCGCCGCCGGCACAGAGTGCCTCAGCCAGTGCGGCACGGGCTTCATAATGGATCAGCAGGCAGGCAGGGTCGAGTGCTGCCTCGCTGCCGCCCCCCTACCTGGAACAGGTGCCACTGGCTGTTTCCAGCTGTGTCTTTAGGGGGAGCACTGGGGGCCGGGTCCGTGAGGCCTGAGGACAGAGGAGGGAATGATGGTAAGTGTCCCCTTGCCTGAGGAAGGGCTATGTGCCGAAGTGCCATCAGTGGGCGAAGGGGTGTTCTCCAGGCAGCCTCTGGGGGAAGAGGTTCTATCTGTCTTTCCACTGGGGTAAGAACACTTGGGCGGGGAGGAGAAGCAAGGCATGGGCCATGCAGCCCCAGGTGGCCCCTGAACCTCTCTTGGTGGAGGGGACGTCAGAGCCTTGGCCTCAGGAACAGAGCCCCACCACAGCACTGGGACTCACCCAAGCTCAGCAGTTCCTCATCCAGCAGGGAGAGGGCATTGCTGGGGCTGCAGGGCCCGGGCGAGGCCTCGGCCTGGCTGGCTGAGCGGCTGCGCAGGGGGCCTGCGGCCTGGGGGGGTGGCGGGAGGATGGGGATGCCTGATGTGGGTGGGGCAGGTGCAGGGACCAACACTGGGGGCGAGCTGCCCAGCGTGTCTGACTCATCCAGGTCGATAAGCGTGCTGTGGCTACTGGAGTGGTTGTTTCCTGGATGGCAAACGGACGAATGACAGGAAGAATTAGGGGCCACTCTAGTGGCTGCATGGCAGGAGGCAAAACCCTGTGCACGGTGGCTCATCCCACACCCTCTGCCTTGCCCCAGCCTGGCACAGCCAGGGACTGCCGACAGCCAGCAGAAGGCAGGCGAGATAAGCCCTCTCCATGTCTCTGGCCTCCAGGAAGCTGAGGCCCATGTGGAACAGCTTGGCCTCCCCCGAGGATGATACTGCTCAGCCTGTACCAGTGGCTCTGAGGTGGGGAGCTGGGAGCTGGTCTGGAGGGGACCACAACGTTTTACCTTCTGGGCCAGGTGGGGCTGAGCTGGTCACCTCCCCATTGATGACCTGTCCTTCGATAATTGTTTTGTAAGAGTTGATGACCCTGGAGAGGTTGTCACTGGCCTGCAGGATGTCCCCTAGAGCCGAACAGAGAGAACTCTCACTCCTGGCCGGGACAACTCCCACCACCACCAAACCAAAGCCAAATCCATTCCTGTCAAGTCAATGCTGACTCACAGGACAGAGCAGAACCGCCCCGCGTCCGCGGCTTTAGTCTTTTTAAAATTATTTTGCTGTTGTAGAGAACGTACATAACAAGACACACAGTCCGACAGTTTCTCCAGGTGCAGTTCAGTGACACTGATTCCGTCCCCCACTCTCATCTTCCTTTTCCCACCTGTTCCTCCTCAACTGACACGAACTCGCTGTCCCCTAAGTTTCCGATGCAACCTTTCGAGAGACTGTGGCCAGTCTGACCTCAAAGGAGCACGGGGCTCAGGGCCGCCTTCGTTACTACTAAAGCTGAACTGCTGTTTGAGTTTAGGAAGACTTCAGGGGCTATTTTTGGTTTAAGGTTTAAGATGACCTCAGGGGAATACTTTCAGGGGTTTATCCAGCCCCCACAGCTCCAGAAAGCCTGGAGTCCATGAGAATTTGAAATTCGGTTCTGCGTGTTCCTCCCCACTTTAGATCAGGATTCTTCTACACAATCTTTGATCAAAATGACTCGTAATGGTAGCCAGGGCTGTAATCTTTATGGAAGTGAACAGCCACAGTTTTCTCCTGTGAAGCAGGTGAAGTCTGAACCTCCACCCTTCCAGTTGGCAGCTAAGCGCTTAACTACTGCGCCACCAGCGTTCCCCAACCACACATCCAAATTCTTGGGTCATTTTTCCCAACTACTTTTCCTTGTCACTCACCCAAACTGTTGTCATTGTCCTCTGTCTCGCTGGCTAATTTGAATAAAGTCCGTCTCTTGTTCTCACACCGATCAAACAGCTCCTGAAAGAGACCCGATCTACAAGTCAGAACGACAAAGGCCCTTGGCAGTCAGCTCATTCAGCGCTCAGGCCCAGGCCAGGGCACCCTGAGCTCCTCAGCCACCACCCACCACAAGGCCAGGCTTGAACCACTACAGAGCACAGGGCACTGCAGGGCAGGTGAGCGAGGAGTCTCTGCCTGAAGGTGGCCTGAGAGGCCACAGAGGAGCTACACAGAGAGGCCGCAGAGGCCGGGTGAGCACTGAAGGCCAGTCCCTGGAGTTGCAGCTGGGCTCACAGCCCTGCCTTGCCACCTGGGGCAGGTTACCTCACACGTCAGATGGGGACACCACCATTGAGTGCCTGGCTGCTGTGCCAGTCAGCGAGGTAACGAGTTCTAGGTGCGCAGTGAGGCCTAGCAGCTCGGGTCCTCGGCAGAGGCCGTTCCTTTTGCAGCAGAGCAGTGTAGGCGTGAGGCCTGCTCCTCTCCAGAAGGGGCCTACCTGCATAAGCTCCTTGTCCGCCTCTGAAGAGTCATCTTTGCTGTAGTGAAGCAGCATCTCATTGAGCAGTTTGACGTTGTTATTGACCTCCTCCAAAGTATGCAGACGCTTGGTCACCTTCTGGATCCGGGCCTCATCCTGCGTCAAGGGAGGGGAGCAAGGGGAAAGCTCGACACCGCACCTCCCACGTCCTCCCAAAGCCCACAGGTGAGGGTCACTGCTTCTCACGGCTCCTGCTGACAGCACAGTTCTCGGGAAGCCCACGCGTCTGGCCCACTTGCCACCCACCCCAAACTGGATGCTATCACCTCTTGCTTCCACATCCCATTCCCCCAGATGCTATGAAGTCCCTCCTTCCATCCTCAGGCCTCTCCAGGCAGGTGTGAGGCCCAGGGGAGGAGACGGCCACCTGCGGCACCAGGCGCCACCCCCACCTCCTTCCATCCTCGGGCCTCTCCAGGCAGGTGTGAGGCCCAGGGCAGGAGACGGCCACCTGTGGCACCAGGCGCCACCCCCACAGCCCGCGAGCCGGCACTCACTTCCTTCACCATGGACTTGATGAGCTTGTTGGCCTCTTGTAGGTCGTCTGGATTTTTGCTTTTCAACAGCTTGGCTAAAAGCTGCAAAGAAGGGAATAAAATGTGGAGGGACGAGAAAGAGGGCGCCCCCCAGTCCAGGGACCACAGAGACCAGGGCCCCAGCAGTGCTGGACAAGACTGCACCCACCCCTGCCACCACCCTCGCCTGAGAAAATCCCAGCCTGGGATGTCTTTTACCTTGGACTTTTCTTCATCGTCAAACACAGGGTTTTTGGGCCGGGGGGGTGGAGAGGGGATGAGTGTCCTGTCGGCAGGAAGTGGGGGGTCAGAGCGTATAATACCTGCAGGGAGACAGGGTGCGGCTCACTCAGCCTCAGGTCAGCCTCACTGGCTCGGCCAACAGGGCCCATCCCTGTGAGAGGGACGAGCAGAGGCAGAGGACAGGGTAGCCGTCCCCATCAGAGCCCTCGTGAGAGCTTCTCCTACGATAAAGGCCACTTCTCCTGGGAAGGGTGGGAGGGAGCCTAGGGGCCTGGAAGCTCCCCGAGCCCCTGCTGCCTTAGCCAGCCTTCAAGGTCTGCTTGGAGGCCGAGAGGAGGCAGGCACATACCTTGTCTCTTCAGCATGTGATAAGCATCTCTGATCTTTGACTCTTCTGGCAGGGCCAGTGTCCAGCTATAAAGCAGCTCGATAACCTTGGTCTTCACTTTCTCAGACACCCTGTCCCCCAGGTACTAGGAGGCAAAGGGAGCAGGAATATCTAGTCACTGCAGTTTGAAGGCAGGAAGGTGGGAAGGCTCTTGACAGCAGTTAGAAGGCTGCTAATGAGTTACTCCCTAGAGCCTATTCAAAAGCAGCATGTGCCGAGGACGGTGTGTGGGACAGAGCAGCGGGAGGGGCCCTCTGCCGCCACGCAGCCCAGCCGGCCAGCATGCAGCCTGTGGTCAGGCAGTGGGGCCAGAGCTCGCACATGCCCAGTAGTCAGAAACACAACCGTGAACATGAAGGGGTTCACGAGAACGTCTTCAGCAGGAACAACGAACAGCAGGAATACTTAAAACCCTCGGTTTTAAGTGGGTACCCAGAGCCAGGCAATCCCGGTGCAAAACACAACCCGACCAGCTGGGCGACGGATGCATAAGGAAGCCACCCCTTGCAGCCACGTGACACAGGCCAAAGGAACTTCTGCTGGGAGCTTGGGAGCCCTGTGCAGGCCCAGCCGAGGCCCTGCCATGTGTCTGTCTCCCTCCAGCTCTGTCAGGGAAGGCCGCCCGTCATCCCAGGGCCTGGTCCTCTAACAGCCCTCATAGCAGCTCCAGCCTGTGGAGACTCTGGCTGGGTACGAGAGCCAGTGGGATGGGCAACAAGGAGGAACCCAAAAGTGGTGAGCAGGTATCACGGACTGACCTTGGGGGAGACGACTTTGATTAACTCGTTCAAAAAGCGGAACTTCCCCACTTCATTGTGAATTCTCCTCCCACAGTTCTTCATGCACGCCTCCAGCACCTGCGGTCACACAGAGAGGCTGCTGAGAGAACGGGGTGCGGGGACCGACACCCAGCACAGAGACCACGCTGAGGAAACAGTCACCGAGTGGAGGACTCACTCAGCAAGCAGTGGCTGAGCGGCCCAGGACTGCATGGGTTAACTGATAGGATCATTCACACACCATGTCACCATGTGTCCCCACATCACAAACCTCTTCTGGGGAAGCTAAGGACAAAGTAAAGAAAAAAAAAAAAAAAAAAAAAAAAAAAAAAAAAGCCAAAACCCAGACACCAGACAGACCAGAAGGTAAAGTGAAGATTCTACTCTGGTGTTTTTTGTAGAGGACAAGAGGGAGAGGGTTTCTCGATTCATGTCCGGGGTTCTTTCCAGAAGCTGGCCAGTGTTTTTTGGGGGTGACAGGAGATAATGGAAAAACCCCTGGTGGCATAGCCGCCTGGCTGCTCAAACAATAGACAGGCATATGGGGTGAACATTTACATCAGATAGATACACTCCTTGGAGCGATCGATCAATCATGAGAGAACGGAAAGCCAGCGTTTGTACAGGGAGACAGCTCGGGGGGTGGGAGTGCATGGGAGGGAAGGACACAGGGAAGAGGTAACTATGGGGAGGAAGCGGGAAGAGAGCTGTTACACTGCCGGGAAGTGCAGTCGATGTCATGAGACAACGTGTGTGTGAACCGCTGTAGGAAAATGAGTTTGCTCTGTACACTTTTCACCCAAATCACAATAAAAATTAAAACAAAACAAAACAAACACTTGGCGGCTAACTGGAAGGTCAGTGGTTGGAACCCATCAGCCGCTCGGTGGAAGAAAGACCTAGCAATGTACTTTGGTAAAGATTACAGCCTGGGAAACCCTACGGGGCAGTCTTACTCTAAAATGTGGGCATGCTGTAAGTCGGAACTGTCTTGACGACACACAAGATTAGCCTGGGAAACCCTGTGGGGCAGCCTCACTCTGAAATGTGGGGTTGCTATGAGTTGGAACCGACTCGACGACACACAACAAAGGGATAACGTTTGAACCCTCTCTCCTTCCGTTCGGATGACAGGGTGTTTTTCCTCCCCCTGCCGCTGCTCCTTCTGAGAACGTAAAGCTGACCCAAGCCTTCCCGGGGCCCCCGGGTGCCTACGGTCCAGGCCAGGGAGCACCACCCAGGGCAGAGCCCTCAGCCTCAGCACTCCTGGCCCGGGGTGGGGTCGCTCTCGGTGAGGAGGCTGCTCTGTGCAATCCAGGACGTTTAGCAGCATCCCTGGCCTCTGCCCACCAAATGCCAGGGGCACCCACCTCACTAGCTGCCTGCAGACATTGCCAAATGGCCGCTAGGAGCAACACACCCCAGTAGAGAACATGTTTTGCGGTTCGAGCTCCACAACAGACAGGCAGAGTGCACGTGAGCCCGAAGCTTCTTGGCTTCCGATCTTGCCAGGACCTGAGCAAGTCTGGCAGAGTCCCTGGGACCCCTCTAACTCCGCTACTCGACGGGGCACTGGGTCTGGAGGGTGGTGCCTGAGCTCCACACGCTGTTCCACATCTTGAACTCCCTTGGGTGGCGCAAGCACTGGGAGTCAGCCCTGTCCCCGTGCTGTTAATTGTGGTGGCCTCACTAAGAACTGACATTCTCATAAGCTCCGGCATGAATTATGCTCACCTCTTTCTTCTGCTCTTAACTGGTAAGACAGTTCTGTCAGCGACTCTTTGAGAAACTGCCTGTGAGCCCCACGTAGGGGGGCTCTGCCTCAGGCGCCCTGCTTCAGCACCTCAGCCTCTTGCGCTGGCTTGTGGGAGCCACACTGGCGGGACCACACCCGGACCACCTCCACAGCCTCAGTGCCTGGCACGAGCACCCACATTCTTGCGGAGCTGTCAACTGAACACGTTTCAGGGAAATCTAACTCGGGATGCGCTGCCATCTGGCTGGCTTTGGGTGTGAGGCCTGAGAAGCGCCAAGAAGCCAACGGGCACACGAGGAAGGCCTAGTGTCATGCAGACCCACCACGCTCCTCTATCTCCACCAAAGAACCTACCGTCAGGGCCTGCACCGCCTCCCATTCCTGTGGGGACTGGATCTTGTGGGCCAGCAGCCGGACCGCGATCTGTGGCCTGGAGACAAGCAGACCTGTTTTCAGTACACCGGCCCCGGAGCCATCCGGCCAGCCCTGCTTGGCCACTGTTTTGATTTTTCCCACCAGCTTTCTCTCATCTGCCCCATTTGCTTTGAGACTCACCCTTCAAGCTCCCTGTTGATCTGATCACAGAAGCCAATGATGTATTCCCAGTCCTCTTGCCGGTTGGAAGGATTGGTGGCTTTATCTCGGGGGAGAACAAAGTAGAGGGCAAGTGTTATAAAAACCAAACCAAACCAGTCGCTACCAAGTCGATCTGGACTCATGGCAACTCCATGTGTTTCATAGGAGAACTGCCCCAAAGGGTTTTCCGTGGCTGATTTTTTAAAATTTTATTGGGATTTGGGTGCAAGTTTACAGAGCAAATTCATCTTCCATACAGTAGCTCACATATACTGTCTCATCACATTGACTAATCTCCCACAATGCAACAGCTCCCTTCCCCTTTCCTCCCCACAGTTACCTCTTCCCTGTGTCCTTCCCTCCATGCACTCCTGTCCCCTGAGCTGTCTCCCTGTGTTCTCTCATGATTCATCTCTCCAAGGAGTATATCTACCTAATGTAAACATTCACCTCATATGCCTGTCTTTTGTTTGGCTGGAAGCCACAGGAGTGGGTTCAATTCCAGACCTGACGGGCAGCTAGGGGCCACAGTCTCAGGGGTTCCACCAGGCTCTATCAGACCAGCACACCTGGTCCTTTCTTTTTTATGATTCTGAGTTGTGTTCCCCATTGTTCTCCCCCTGTCCAGGATCTCCTGCACTGATCCCCCTCCAAGTGGCTGACGGTGGTCATGGCTGATTTTTTGAAAGTAGATCACGAGATCTTTCTCCCAAGGAAGCTCGAGGTGAACTCGAACCTCCCACTTTTCACTTAGTAGCACTTAATCACAGACTCCACGAGGAAGAACAAAAGAGGGCATAATGGGAGGTTTTCATCACGTGGGATACAATTTTTAGACACTGATGTGAAGGTTAAGTTTGCTTCCAAATTCTTCTCTAAAAGAGAAGCCTCAATAGTTCACTCGGGGAGTAATCAAACCAAGAAAACCAAGCCTACTGGCACTGGGTCCATTCTGACCCACAGTGCCCCTAGAGGACAGAGTACAACTGCCCCACAGGGTTTCCAAGGCTGTCAGTCTTTATGGAAGGAGACTACCTCATCTTTCTCGGGGGTGGGGTGGGGGGGTGGCTGGTGGGTTCAAAACACTGATCTGGTTAGCAGCTGAGTGCTTTGATCACGGTGCCGTCAAAGCTTCTTATGTAGCAGCCAAGACAAAGCTCCAGCTCAGTGCCCTCGCGTCGATTCTGACCCACAGCGACCCCCTCTGGGTTTCCAAGGTTGTTGTTGTTGTTGTTATGTGCCGTCAAGTCAGCCCTGACTCATAGGGACCCCTCCTTGGGTTTCCGAGGCAGTATCACTACGGAAGTAGGATTGCCCAACCTTCCTTCCGTGGAGTGGCTGGTGGGTTTGAACCGCCAGCCTTCTGGTTAGCAGTCAAGTGCCTTAGCCACTATGCTATCAGGGTTTCCAAGGTAGTAAATCTTTATGGAAGTAGCTGCCCAGTCTTTCTTCCGTGGAGTGGCTAGTGGGTTTGAACTGCCAACCCTGAGGTTAGCAGCTGAGTGCTTTAACCACTGTGCCACCAGAGCTCTAACCAGAAAAAAAAAAAAAAACAACTTGCTGCCTTGGAGTGGGATCCGACTCAAATACTGCCCCTCTGCCCAGGGTTCTGCAAGTCACAAAGGAGAGAGGAAAGAAATCCTCCGCCTCATGGAGTTTCAAGTAGACCAGGATTGATAGGACACATGTAAACAGTTCTAAATACAAGAGATTAAAATGTTAATAAATCTCCATATAAAATGACACAGGAACAGAACTGGTCATTGCAGATAACAAAGATGAGCTTAAGTTCAGGAAACCGGGCAGGGGGAGCGACTGTTGCTGTGTCCTTCAAGTCGACTGGAAGTCCCAGCGGCCCCACGAACGAACGGAATTTTCTTGGCTCTAATCTTCACAGGGGCAGATTACCAGGTCTTTCTCTCACAAAGCTGCTGAACGGATTCGAACCACCCACCTTTCAGTTGGCAGCCCAATGCTTAACCTTTGTGCCACCAGGTTTCCTTTGAAAGTAGGAATATTTTCCATAAAACCTTCAAAAAAAGATTTCTCAAGCCTTAACTTTTTTTTCCTTTTTTTTGAAATTAAAAAGCAAAGAGGCTCCTTGATGGGAGAGTACAATCTGAGAACTGGGAACCGCAGGTCGAGGCCCTCCACGCAGCACCTCCCCCGCTGGCCGGACTTCTGTCAACGCCGCAGCGTTGGTGGGCTGCAGACGACACGGTCATCACGCCAAGTCAAGCGCCAGCCATGACCGAGCCCTACCAGGCACTTGTCTTCATGCGACCCCAAGATCGCAGGCAGCGAATCTCAGCTTCAGGGTCCGCACCCTCGCGGTTCAATGGTCTTCCCTCCATCAAAGAGAAAGACAAGGCCGCTTTCAGAGGGGCCCTGAGGGGCTAAAGTCCAGGTTCTACACCCAAGTATCCTCGTCTCAGGTACGGGCCCTCCGCTCCCCGTTCTCCCCACCCCCTGGCTGACGGAGGATGGCCTCTCCTGGGGGTGGAGAGATGTCTCCCCTCTGACTCAGATCTGGAGTCAGCCTCTTGCAGAAAGCACGCCCAAGCTGTCTGCTAAATTTAGGACTTCAGGTTCGGAAGACAAATGAAAGACTGAAGACCCACATCCGAAACACCTGCTTCTCTGCAGACTTCCACCAGGTGAGAAAGCAAAGCAACGACCAGGGTCCTGGGGAAGCCCCCGAGTCCTCACGGCTGGGCCTTTTCTTAGCTTCCTCTTGTCGGTCAGCAGCCAAAACCCTGGAAACCATTAGCCTGATGACCAAATCCTAACAGGGACTCCTGGTCCCTCTGCTGGGAGTCGAGCTCGGAGCCACAAGAGGTCTGCAGACACCTCCTCTGGGTCAGGGTGGCTGCTGAAGGGGTTGACACCCAGGGCAAGATTCTTATTTGGGGAACAGAGAGGTGCCTGTCCCCAATCTTGGAAAGAGAACTGACAGGCCCTTCAAAATGTCAAACTTGATGGGAAAGGAGATTAGTTTAATCCGTGTGTGTGGGGGGCATTTGGGAAGAAATGCCAGTGACCCCACATTTATTTCCAGTGAGGACTTAGCTGCCACCTTCCAGGGAAGCCCTAAGTCTCTCCCACCAGTTGTCTGAAATCTCTCAGATACCGGCTTGGCTTTGTTACTAAGCCCTGTCATTTGAGATGCTTAATGTTCTCACACTGAGAGGCTGAAGGATACAAGTAAGACTGTGAGGAGCCAGAGCCACCCCCGTGGCTGTGGTCATGCTGGGAACAGACACACCTCCCAAGGCGTAGACACACAGCCCACTCACTTCCACTGCTCGCCACTGGGCGGCATCGTCCCCACACAGGGGAACGTGGGGACGCACCCCACGGCGCACAGAAGCACCGGACTCAGCCCACGACCCACGACGTGCCGACAGCCCCGCACTGCTGCTTCCCAAACCCTCCCTCCTGCTTGTCAAGCACGTTCAGCTTTCCAGAATCCCACCTTCTTTCCCCTTGGACACCTCTCAACTGAAGAACGCGGGGGCACCGAAAGGCCCGGTCTCAGCGAGGTCGGCCCCGCTTCCGAGTCTCCTCCAGCTCACCAGCCCTCTCAGAAGACAGGCCCATCACCCGAGAACTGGGAGAAACCTCTGGGGTCCGGAAAGTTCTGGGTGACCCCGTTTCTCCATGGGCCTACGGCCTCGCCCCCAGATACGCACCCCCTTCCACCTTCATCTGGCACTGAGGCGTCACCGGCCTCCCCACAGACCCTGCTTCTCCGGGCTCTGCGTGGACTCACGGCTCCTGACCGTTCCTGACCGTTCCGGACTCGGCTGAAAGCCTGCTCTCCCGTGTTGGCGCCTCAGGCTCTCAGCGTAATGCTACCACCAGTCCTGCATTTTGCAGGAGCTCAGGAGGCCAAGGAGGGACGGAAGCAGCAGCACCTGCCGCCCCATTCCGACATGGCTCGACCACCAGAGATGACCATCCTATGTAGCCAAAGAATTAGCAATGAGCAGAGGCATGAACGGGGCTACAGGGCGAGTAAGGAGTCACCCTTCAGCGCGAAGGCCTTGACCTGAAAGGGAGACTTCGTGAGTCCCTGAATCTTTGCTAAGCACCCACAGAAAACTGAGCACACAGCCCGTGAGGCATGGCCGTGGGGACTATAAAAAAAGGCCAAGACACTGCTCTTATCCTGCCGGACGTGACGCTCTTCAGGGCATGTGAGAAATAATGTGTATAAAATAAGACAGTGTATAATTTTAAGTGCTAATTTGGTAAAGAAAGAAGTCTAAAACCCAACGAATCACCTCTCTTGACTTCCCTGTTTCTATAAAGAGATCACCATCCCAAAGCCCCTTCTGGCCCCACTCCCAGGCACTCAGGTTGGAATCTCATCCCTGGGTCTCCCCGCCGCTCCCCACCCACCGAGCTCTTCCTTCTCAGTAGCTTTTTTTTTTTTTTTTTAATTGTGATTTGGGTGAAAGTTCCCAGAACAAATCCATTTTCCATATAGCAGTTCGTCCACATTTTGTTTCATGACATTGACTGCAATTCCCCACAAGGTAACAGCTCTCTTTCCGCTTCCTCCCTGTGGTTACCTTTCCCACGTCCTTCTTTCCCATGCTATAGATCGTTTTTCATACAGCCTTTCTTGCCAGGTTTTGTAACCCCCTCCAATGACTGGGTTGGGACTCGTGCCTCTCCAGTGGGACTGGACAGCTTGCTAACAATGTAAATAAGGTGCAGGGCACCCTTGTGGGGGTGGGCTCATACCAATAAGGTGTACGGCACCCTAACGAGAGGATTGGTCAGTCTGCTACCCTACAGGGGCAGGGAGGGGGACCTCATCACCACCAAGAAAGAAGAGCTAGGAGTGGAACACACCTTTTGGACCCAAGGTCCCTGCACTGCGAACCTCCTCACCCAGGAAACAGAGAGCTGTGATACTGAAGACGCTACATGGTGAGCTATGGCAGTAGAACCAGGAGACCAGTATGAGATGGTGGTGTGGGCTTCCTGGCCCATGCTGGCAGACTGGGGTGCCTCTCTTTTTTTTTCAATTGTGATTTGGGTGAAAATTTACAGAGCAAATTCACTTGCCATTCAGTAGCTCACATATACTTCGTCTCTTGACATTGACTACAATTTACCACAATGCAACAGCTCCCCTCCCACTAGCCACCTCTTCCCTGTGTCCATCCCTCCATGCACTCCTGCCCCCTGAGCTGTCTCCTGGTGCATAAGCAGCCCTCCTTTCTCTCAGATTGTTCTCTCTCCAAGGAGTGTATCTGCCTCAGGTAAATGTTCAACTCATGTGCTTGTCTTTCATTTGGCTGGAAGCCACAGGTGTGGGTTCAATTCCAGACCTGAAGGGCAGCTAGGGGCCATAGTCCCAGAGGTTCCACCAGGCTCTATCAGACCAGCAAAACCTGGTCCCCTCCCCCCCTTTTTTTTCAAATGATTTTGAGTTTTGTTCCATATTGTTCTCCCTCTCTATCCAGGATCTCCTACACAGATCCCTCTCCAAGTGGTTGACAGTGGTAGCCGGGCACCATCTAGCTCTTCTGGTCTCATAGTCTTACAGGCTGCGGATCACATGGTGTATGGGGTGCCTCTTTTTAAGAAAGTTTCATTCACTCCCATATCACCTCCATCAAAATAAAGGCAAAGATCATTTGAACTTGAACTTCTGGTCTTGTAACACCTCACTAAGTAAGCAGGGACTCAGTAAACATTTACTGATTGAGCATAGTCAGAGGACTTCAAAGAAGGGATTGGTTCCTGGGAAGGAAAATCTGGGATGGGTCTCGAAGCATTTAATTGCGCAAAGGGATGCAGGGCATTCCAGGTAAGGAGAACAACATGAGTTGGTGGGACAAGAACTTCAGACTGATCAAAGCAAGGAAGAGTATCTGGAAGCCATACGGGGGGGAGGCAGGGAATGAATGGGGCCAGATGTCAGGGGGGCAGGTTTGGCAGCAGTGGGAATGTCTTGATTAAACAGTTTTAGAAATACTTTTCTGGGAGCAGAATGTAGACTAGACTGGGGGTGGAGTGACTGGAGGTGCTGGGCCCGACAGAGGCTTCTGCAGTCATCCAGACAAAACAAGGCGTGACAGGACCTAAACTAAGATGGTGGTGAACTCCGCACACTGGTTTGTTCAAATGTTACAGTGCACATCAAGTCACAGGAACTGTAAAGGTGCGCAGAGGTTAAGGGTGAAGGAATCTTAACATTGTCCCAAATGTACCCTTCCATAGAAAAGGGTCATGGCTAGGCTGATCTGGTCTCTACAGATGCCATCTGATTCACCCTCAACATCTCTACTTGCCTCAAAAAGTTCTGTTGCTCTGCAACTTTAATATATAACTCTGACCCCAGAATCTAATGCCCAGAGATAATCTTTAAATCTTGAAACGAAACTATCCCTTGAAGCCATTGTTAAAATAAACAGCAGTTCAGCCCAATAAAGGTCTGCCTCAAGCACAGTGCTTTTAGAAAGAATCGTGTATATGAGCTTAATCTCAACAGTTAACCTAAAGCACAGATGAGAATTTGAAGGGGCAGAGAGCCTACATTAATGGTGATGAAATAAAACAGGTAGAGAGGGTAAGAATGGTGACACAATGTCAAGTATGTAACAGATGTCACTGAACTGCTCGCGCAGAAATTGTGAATGGACGTATGTTTAGTTGTGTATATCACCAACAACAATCAAAATTAAATGTACACACATCTACATAATACATACTTTATACACATGAACTCTAAACAAACCCACTTATTAAACTCATTCTCATGGCCGTCAAGTTGATTCTGATTCATAATGACCCTACACGACAGAGCAGAACCGTCCCATAGTGCTTCCGAGGCTGGAATCTTTAAAGAAGCAGACTGCCATGTCTTTTTCCCGCAAAGCAGCTGGCAGGTTCAGATGACCTTTCAGTTAGTAGCTGAGTGCTTACACACTGCACCACCAGGGCTCCTCCTAAACTCACTGGGTCTTTAAATGACTCCACTATTCTCATTAACATCTGTGAAATGAATCGATTCTGGTATGCTTATGTCCAGTTGGGTGGCTCCGGGCAAGTTGTCTGGGGTCAGGGTGTCCTCCTTTTGTGAAATGGTGGCAGGAGAACCTACTTCTCTAAGACACTGGATAAATAAATTTGAAGAACGTCTGGAGAGCAACTTGAGCTCCTCGGAGAACAGTTCCACATACACAGAAGCCCTCGTAAGCTGCCTGCCACTGCAGTTTTGTCACTGTCATCTGCCGTTTTCTCTCTTCTAAGATGTGCCCCTCCTTTAAACTTGGGTTCCTCCTCCCGAAGAAGGGCTCCCGTTCAGCAGAGGTCAGGCCACTGGAGGAAACAGCCACCCCCGACGAGAGCCTGGAGGCGCTCCTGAACAAGGGACCCCTGCACGAGCCTGGATCTAGGCACCTGTCTGTCTTGTATCCTGTCCAATTTCCGTCTCACGGAAAGAAACATCCCGGGCATCTAGCCTCGAAGAAAACACGTTTATTAAGCCTTCAGCAAAGGCCTATCTGCTAACAAGGTTAACCCACATTTCCTTCACAGCAAACTCCGTAACTAAAGCATCAGACAGCGCCCCTGAGCCTACACAGTTCTTTACTCGTTAGAGAATCATTCGTTAAGATGTTCGGGGGATGGGGTGGACGACACAGATTTCAACATGCTTTGGTCACTGCAGGAGAACAGACAGCGCTCTGCTCCCCAGTCCAGCGAGACTCATGCTTTAGGCAAAGGAACGGTCACCGCTCTCTGTGGAAAATTATTCTCACTTCAAAACATTCTGCCTGCGCAGAGCGGTCACTTTCCCTCGAATACACGGCACACAATCACAATTCTGAAGTTGCCAGGCATGTCAGCATGGTCAGCCAACCCACCACCGCCAGAGTTCCGGCCCAAATCCGGAGCTTTTTCCTCCGTCAGGGACTGAGGCGCACGGGTCCCGGAGTCACAGCCGGGAGCAGCCCCACCACCATCTTCCCCAAAGCTCCGACGCATGTCAGCCCAGAGAACTAGGCTGGAGCGTTCCCCGAGCCTTCGAGGACCCGACAGAACCCCGAGCTCACGCAGCCGCGCCCAAGAGCTGGAAGAAGCGCCGCAGCCAAGGGAGCAGGGACCGGCGGGGAACGGAGCGCACGGCTGCAGAAGGGGCGTGATCGCGGAATGCTCGCGGCAGGAGCAAGCCAAGGCGCGCGCTGCCAGACGGCGCCGCCGCGGAGCCCGGGGACGGGGTGCAAGGGTGCAGAGCGGGGAGGCTCGAGGGCAGGCAGATGCGACCGCGGCTACTCACTGAGCCAGGACTCCAGACTCTCCCCTTCCGCCTCCGCCATATTGCAGCCGCCCGGGGCAGCCCCGCGGCTTCCAACCTCGCGAGAGCCTGCAAAAGACGAACCGAGGCGTGGCTTGCAGGGGGCCTGAGAGGAGCCGGCGCAGCCGCCGAGGGCAGCGCCGGACTACGACGGAGATTGGGAGGGAGAGGGTTTCCTTTCGGTTCTTCCCTGTGAACGCCGGAGTGAGATACTCCAACGCCAAGATTAATGGGGTGAAATACAGTTTAGGACCCTTGGAGTCTTTTTCCCGTTTCCAGTCATTCGCTCTCACTCGCTCAGGCACGCCGAGGGCAGTCCTCCTGGCCAGCCAAGATGGCTGCCCCCGTGGTGAAAGCTGTGCGAGGGTGGTCGGGCTTGGCCCTGGGTGGGCAGATTGTTCTCCCGCGGCTTCCTGGGTGAGTGGGCAATCGACAGCTGGAGACCCACTTGGGTTCTCACGGAGGGGACTGTGGGAGAAGGAAGGGCGCCGCAGACAGCCTGTGCAGAACCCTAGAGAGAGCAGTGCCTTGGAGGCGGGATGTCTGAGTTCAAGCTTCTGACTAGCTACTTGACCTTGGCCCAGTGCTGAAGGCTTAGTGATTGCTCCCGCTCGAGGAGTCGGGCTGATACAGGGATCTAATTCGGAGGTGAAAGTGCTGCCCTGCAAGAGCGCTCGTCACTGGGGTCTCCTGTGGGTTGGGAGGGGGAAGAGACGCGCAGGCGAGGAGCCTCTCCTGAGGTTCAGCAACCTGCCCTACCGTTTGTGCTTGACAGCGAGGAGACTTGGGTGGCTTGTTTGGGGGAAGTCCTCCCACCTCTGGAGACGAGAGCGAGAATTATGGCGGCTCAGGCTTAGCTAGCCGTGTCCGCGACGCTCTCGTTGGCGGGTTGGCAAACATGTCTATTGTTAAGTCAGGCTTATTCACTTGTGGAGTCAGCGCTTGCTCTCGTCCCAAGACTAACCCAGGTGAGGTGGAGCCGCTATGGCCCGCAGTACCAGGATCCCCGGATTGACAAGGAGTATTATCGCAAGCCCGTGGCTGAGTTGACTAAGGAGGAAAAGTATGAACGGGAGCTCAGGAAGACTCAGCTCATCAAAGCTGCCCCAGCGACCAGAACAAGCTCTGTGTTTGAAGACCCAGTGATCAGGTTAGATGGCAACCAACACTTTTGTACTACAGGATGGGGACAATGCCAGGGAGGGTCGCCTTTAAGGGTTCTGTGATACAGCCTTGGAAAGCTAAGCATGTTGCTTTTCTCCTCAAAGTAAATTCACCAACATGATGATGAAAGGAGGAAACAAAGTGCTGGCCAGGTTCCTCATGACGCAGGTAAGCAGGTACCATCTTTGTTTTTCCTGTAGCGTTGTACTTGGTTCATTCATTTCAACTTGTCATTAAATTTAACTTCTCTATAAGGAGCTCTGGTGGCACAATGCCTAAAGCATTTGACTGCTAACCAGAAAGTTGGTTCAAACACACCACCCACTCCGTGGAAGGAAGATGGGGCAATCTACATCCGTAAAGCTTGATCGCCTTGAAAACCCAATGGGGGTCACTGTGAGTCGGATTCGACTCGATGGCAGTGAGTTTTTTGTTTATGTGTATGTGGTGTGGGGGCTTTAATGAATTCCTGCCAAGTCAGTAACTGCCATTCCCTCCACATATCACAAAACTTAGCCCATCCTTTCTCTCCTAGTCCAGGAGAGGAGGAGGCACTTAGGAACTGGATCTTAGGTGTCCTGAGGGAGAAGCTATACTGTCACAGAAAATGGGGTGATGGGAGAAGAGGGCAAGGCACTTGGCTGTTGCCTTTAGGGAGCTGGGGCAGCCTTTTTCATCATATCCCATTGCAGACCCTGGAAGCTGTGAAAAGGAAGCAGTTTGAGAAGTACCACACTGCTTCTGCCGAGGAACAGGCAGCCATTGAACTCAATCCCTACACCATCTTCCACCAGGCTCTGAAAAACTGTGAGCCTGTGATTGGGCTGGTACCCATCCTCAAGGGTGGCCACTTCTACCAGGTGAGAAGGAGGAAAACAGCAAGGGAGGAAGCAGGGCTGCCTGTGCCTACATGTGGAACAAGGTTAGGGGTTGTTAGGGTGCGAGGGCCCCAGGATTGGGCCGGGATTGATAGCTTTCTAGGGGCCAGCGACTGTCAGGCTCTGTTCCTCTGAGTCTGCAGTGTGAAAATCCCAGGTAGGAGATGGGAAGGGAAGAGAGCAAAAACTACCCAAATGGCCTGGTCTGGAAGCCCGCACCCCTGCCTGCCTTCTGTGCAGCACCCTGTGCTCTAAACTGCAAGCTTCTCAAGGTGACGGGCCATGTTTATACCCCATCTTTGTACATCAGTGTCTGGCGTAGCACTTGATCCATAGCTGATGCTCCGTCATATTGGAGCTGAACGGGGTGCCTCTGTCCTGGCATTCCATTGTAGCTTGTTGGTGGGTTTTCTTCCCCTTTTCAGTGACCACTCCCTAAAAGTAGGGACTTTCTCATTTATGTCAGTATCCTCAGAGTCTAGCAAGGTACCTGGTACTAGTGGGGGCCTGGCAGATGAGTCTTGGATGGAGTGTCTTATTTTTAGGCACTCATGCTCTAAGGGCTGAGTCACCCCAGCCAGAGGGGCTTTTCCCAGTTGGTGCTTGTGTTGACCCCTCCCCTGTGACCCCAAAGGGCGAGAAAGGAGTCATGTTTACTGAGTGTTTGCAGAATGGGAATGCCTTTTTGCCACACTTAGGTCACCCAGGGCTGGAGAGAGCTCAGAGAGAGAAAGATCAAACACCCCCTCTCACAGGAGCCTTAGTAGGCCTGGCCCAGAGGGAACCTGTGGCTACTCTCTAGAGCTTAAGAAGGCAGGAGGCCCCAGCCCTGGCAGGCCCTGGGACCACCTTGCCAATATCCTGTCTCACCTAGGTCCCTGTGCCCCTGGCCGACCGGCGTCGCCGCTTCCTGGCCATGAAGTGGATGATTACTGAGTGCCGGGAGAAGAAGCACAGGCGGACTCTGATGCCAGAGAAGCTGTCGCACGAACTGCTACAGGCTTTCCATAACCAGGGCCCGGTGATCAAGAGGAAACACGACGTGCACAAGATGGCTGAGGCCAACCGTGCCCTGGCCCACTACCGCTGGTGGTAGAGCAAGGCTCCAGCTGCTCTGACATGTGGAAAAGTCCCTGGGGGATGCGGATGCAGTTCCTTTGTAAGGGCAGGCCTCCCAAGGATGGGGCAGTTTGCCTGTTGCTCATTAACCCTTTGGGGGCAAGAACTTGCCCCTCTTAGCCCATCTCCTTGCAAAGAGGGACCATGTTGACTTGGGGGTTTCCCTCAAAAAACTCAGGGCCCATCCAGCCTCCTCTCAGCTTGGAGTGGACCTCAGTGTGCAAGGAAAGGAAGCAGTTTTAGTACCAGAATAGGTTTAATAGAAAATTCTCACCTAGAACTGGTGTAGCGCATGGTACAGCCATTCATTGAGACCGACTGGAGAAAATGGGCTTGTTTCCAAAGTAGGCCTCATATAACACATATAAAAGTTTGTTTTATTTTTGGTGTGACTTGTGCTCTGGCCGCTGGCCTTGACATCCCAAAGCATCCAGCAGTAGTCATGGATACCCATTTTACAGGTGGGGAAACTGAGGCACCAAGGTAGCTGCTATACCAGTGGTTATGCAGTGCTATGGCTGTTAGGAGTTGGCCTCTCTGCCCCGCCCAGGTGGAAGGTAGGGAGGGGCTGCCGGGGGAGGGAGGGCTATGAGCATGCTCCAGCCTGGGAGATCAGGCCTGTGTGTGGCCTCCCTGACTCCAGACTGAGTAGGAGAGGGAAGGAGTTCAGGGCAGGGCCACAGTGTGAATGGGAAACACCTTAGGAGATGTTGAAAGTCTAGAAGGGCAAGTTTTTGGGGAGGTGGGTGGGAGCCAGGCTGGTTCTGCTGGTGAGGGCCCCCAGGGCTAGCAGCCTAGTCGGAGACCTCGCTGTAGTAATAGTCGTGGGCTGCCGGGGTGGTCTTCCAGCCAGCTGCCCGGAACTCAATGATCTCTAGCAGCAGCAGCTGGGCCAGGGAGCTGAGGCCGGTCGGGAGCAGGAAGCCATCCCGGATCAGGACAAAGAGCTCGTCCATGCGCTGCCCGTTCATCTTCTCCAGCTGCTCTCCGACCCGGTGCAGCTGCAGCACTAGGCAGTCGACCTGCAGGGCAGTGGGAGGTGAAACTGGGGCAGGGCCACACACTACACAGGGCAACCCCAGACTGCCTGCTGAGTGCCGGGCATCATGCTGTGCCCTTCATACCCTCTGGCTTCACCCTCACACCACCCAGGGGGTACTGCTCCCATCATAGGTGAAAGGGAACGTGTTCAGGGACTTGCTGCAGACTCATCTGGATGGGGTGGACAGAGTGCTTTTTAACCCCTTCACCTTCCTGCCTCTCCCACACTGCCTGACCCTGGCTTGGTTTCTGGGCTAGTACGAGGCTACCTCTGTTCCTACCATGGACCAGCTTTCCCTCTGGAAAGAAAGTCTCTGAGGCGGAAGCTTTGGCTGCTCTCTGTTCTGGACAAATTGTACACCTAGCACTGTGACAGGCCTTAACTGCCCCCACAGGCTTCTGCCCCAGGAAGCGGGGTGGCCCTCTGAGTCAAGCAAGACTACGCACCTCCATCCTCGCCTGTGCCAGGCTACCCACCTCCTCCTCCTTGCTCAGACTGTCAGGCTGGGCCAGCCGGAAGAGGCAGTCATAGACAGGGTTCACCAGGGCCATCATGGGCATGTTGTTCACCTGGCGGGAAGAAGGACCAGAGCACCAGGATTAGCAGCAGTGGGAGCACGCCAGCCTGGACCCCGGGAGACAGGCTGCCACCCAGGGTGGCTGCTGGGGCCTCACCTTTAGGTAGTCAAAGATGTTGCAGATGAAAGTGACATAGCAGACCCAGCCCTGCAGGGAGCGGGCCCGCAGCTGCTCCCGGGCCTGGTACTCCTGCTGCAGTCGGTTGAGAAGGCCCCGCCGGAAAACACTCTGGCCTGTCTGCTTGCTTTCTGCCTGCCAGCCAGGGAAAGGCTAGTGAGCGGCAGCGGGAGGTGCCATCACAACCCCCCGCCCCAGTGCCGCCTCCTCTTAGGAAAATCCTCTGTCTCTACCCTGCTGGCCAGGCTTGTGCCTACTACTCTGGGCCTTCCCAAAGCATCTCCGTTTGCCACCCCCCACCCCCACCTGGATGATGGCGTAGCACATGCGTCCTGCCTCCTTGCTGAACACACAGTCCTGCAGGGAATGGTCCACGATCACATTGGCCACTTTCTCCAGGTCCACAGCACCTGGGTCTGGGGGCAGAGGGAGGAGGGCTGTCTGCTCTTGTCAGGTGCCATTGAGTCCCACTCAGAGTACTCGGCACAGTCACCTCCCCCTGCTGCTGAGAAGGAGGTGACAAGTTTACAACAGAGCACACCCTTTACAGGCAGTGTCTGACTTAACAATGGGGTTCAGTTCCCATAAGTCAGTTCTGGGGCAGGTAGATCACGTACCTTTTTTTTTTTTTTCATTACTAGGGCCATTTATTATCAGCATCTTTGTAAATCTAACCTTTATTTGTCTGGGGGTTGGCATGAGAATAACAGCAAATCACATGCTGCAACATTGTATGTGGTATGTATTATGAATATAACATACAGAATAAAACAGGACGGTCATAAGCAGGGTTCTTGTAACTAATAGGTCATAAGTCGAGGACTACCTGTATATGCTTAAAGAGATCTGAAAACATACAGAGAGGGAGACAGTATGCATACATGGAAGCAGATACCAAAACTGAGCTCCAGCTTTGAACTTCTTGGTTGCCAAATGAAAAACACGGATGTTACGTGATTTGTCTAGTTTTTCAGGACACACATCTCTTCCTGATGCAAGGCTGAATAAGGAATTCCATGTTTGTTTTACATGGGACACCGAATATTGATGTCCTCGGCAATTCCACAGGAGGAACTATTATATGACAAACACGAACCTCAGTGAGAACAGCTGTGTAGGGCCTCTCCCGTAGGCCTAGTCCAGCGCATGGCATGTGGTAGCATTGCTAATTGTTAGCCGATTCTAACGAGTTTTACTACGTCTCCTCTGCCAAACAACTTCATCCCCTGTCTTGGATTGGGAGCTCCACAGAGTTAAGCCAGCTGCAGTCAGGCAGAAGCCAGGACCAAGTTAAGGGCCCAGAGGGCAAGAACTGTGTTCTCTGTGCCCTACTCCCCTTCTTTAAAAAAGGCTTTGCCCAAAAGGACCAATGGACTACATGAACTCCAGGCTCCATGACCCTGAGACCAGAAGAACTAGATGGTGCTGGTTGTTCTGAAAAGGATCCTAACAGGAGGTCCTGGATAGAGTGGGGGAAAAAATCTAGGGCTAAACTCAAAATCAGAAAAAAGATCAGGGTTACTGGTTAGACAGAGATGAGTGAAACCCTCCATAATACAGCTGTCAGATACCCTATGAGCCTGGAACTAAAACTGTTCCTGTGGCTCAACTTCCAGCCAAACAAAAGGCCTAAAGGTGGAAATAATAACCCTTGGGAGGTACACATCCATTAGAACTCTTATGAGATCAGATTTGCCCAGGGATCAACCTCAGAAGGCAGGAGGGATAGGAAAGAAGAATGGAGAGTAACCATAGGGAGGAAGTGGAAAGAGTGCTATTGTGGGGATTGCAATTAATGTCACAAGATAAAATGTATGAACTGTTGAATGAAGAATCGTCCAAATCACAATAAAAAGTTAAAAAAAAAAAAAAAAGCTTTGCAGGTTGAAAGGTGACTGTGTGGTTCATACTCCCAAATACTGGCCTATGTAGCTTGTCTTCCAGGTCGTTACATTGCCAATTCATGTTCTCAGCAGATGACAGAGGAGGGCTGGGCAGTCCCCTGACCCCTGGACGGAGGCTGTGCCCTCTGGTCCTACTCCAGCCCAGCCCCTTCTCTGTAGCTCCTGGCCCGGGCTCCCCAGTTCTCACCTTTGAGTGCTGTCTTCAGCAGCTGCTGAGTCTCTGCATCAAAAGACTGAATTTTATACTCCTCTCTACTGGGCTCCCCCATGACCATCAGCCCAGCAGCTCCTTGCTGGGATGGGACTACTGACAGCACCTGGGGAGAAGACAGTGAAGGGAGAGGCCTCAGGTGTGGAGTGTGGCTGGGGCTTCCCAGTGGGGCTGGCCAGAGCTCCCGACAGGTGCTCCTAAGCCGGTCATGGCATCCAGAGGCTGGCTCGGAGCCCACCAAGCTTGACGTCTGGCAGAGACCGGACACCAGCCAGGAACCTGTTGCTCACCTAGGACACCCCAAGCTTCAGGGATTACACGAGGGTAAAAACACAACGTGTGAATGAGCCTACCCTACAGGGCCAGCAGGAGGCAGGGCTTACTCCCAGCTGACACCATGCTCGGTTGAGACGGGTGCGCTGAGCCGGGAGGGTGCCAGGTGGGTACTGGAGACTTGGGCCCGCCTCTGGACAGACTAGCCCGGTCTTATGTAAACCAGCCTGGAAGCTGCTGACACAGCACGATTTCGGGCAAGAGGCGGGGCTGGGGGCTCCAAGCTTCGGACCCTCAGTCCCAGCAGGGCTCTAAGCCCTTCTCCCCAATCCTCCCTCGGCTTCTGTGCGAGTCCTTCTCAGCCCACCAAGCCCACCCCTACAGCCCTCGGGTTTGGGCCGGCCGGCATGGGTGGGTGAAAGCGTTCTCTGCCGCTCCCACAGCCGACCAGCATCTCCCCAGCGACGGACTGGTTCAGCTGGCCTCCTGAGTGGCAGAAACCCGGCCCAGCCCACGCAGGACTCCTGAGGACCATCCTGAATTCTTCCCCTTAAGGAGGGAGGGGGATGATGTCGCCACCGAGGGGGAGCCCCAGTGGGGTTCCCTCCCGGACTGGTGCCAGCCTCCCCTCCGGTCAGAGAAGGCAGGTGCCTCCAGACAGTGGCAGCCTGCCCAAGCCGCGAACGCCCTTCGCGGCGCCGTGAGTGCCGGGACCCACCTGCCCGGGCGGCGCCGCGCCCGCGTGACCGGGCGCCGCTCCGCGCGCATGGCGCGCGCTCCCGCGCTCCCGGCGCAGATGGTGCGCTCTGCCCGCCTCGCCGCATCTTAGGTCATTTCCTAGGGCGGTGCGGCTGAGGCGGGGCCAAGACCAGGGGGCGGGGCTTAAACGAAAGGGCGGGACGGACGGCGCCACCTGCCGGAACCCCGGGTACGCACAGATCTTCCCCCTGCCGGGTCCGAGGGCCGGATTCCTGGAAGCGTGACTGAGGCAGGCGCCGCGGGACGTCGCGAAATAGCCACTGCTCTAGAATGAGCTCACCTTGTCCCCTCCTCACCCAGTATGCCCTGACCCTATCTGGGACAAGCTGGCGCTGGGCTGGACCTGCTCCCCGACCTGCGTGCAACCCTGGGGTTTAACAGGGTCACCCTCGCTATCCCCCACACCTGGACTCGGGTTAACAGGATCAAAAAGGCACACTGCCCAGCTGCGCAGCATGGGAAGAGCCCGCGGAGGGCGTGGTCTGGCCCGGGTGGAGGCGTAGATGATCAGCACCCTCAGGACAGAGGAGGTGCAGGGGGACTTTTGGGGCTGGATCAAACCCTACTATCCTCTAACTACTGACGCTCCTGGTAGAATAACTTCTTTTTTTGGTAAAATAAATTTAAAATGAAGGGGGCAGTCCAAGAAATGGGTCACAATTGACAATGTGCGCCCAGCGGGGTGTTGGGAGGGACCTCTACTTTAAGCAAGCCCCCAGGCTCGGTCTTTCTGGGCTGGGGCTGTGAGAGGCTGGCTGACCACACAGCTCAAGAGCCGCAGCTGGTCCTGTCGGGCCCCTGAGGGGTGTGTGTGGGGGAGGACGGGGGTGGGGGGGGGGGTGGGAGGCTCCCAGAAGGTTGGAGAACTGCTGTCTTTCCACCAGCTTAGGCCGGAGTGTGGATGGCAGTTGCTTGCTGCTAAAATTCTCTCCTCTTCTCACATAGAGCCCCTAAAGTGGTCCCAAGAAAAGGCTGGGAGAGAACTCTCACCTGCGGCAGAAGTCAAGGGGCAGGGGCTGTGAGAATGAACTTGACTGCAATGGATTCGCTCTGGAATTTCATACAAAACAGCATCTGCCTTGTGCAGCCGAGGCTTGGGCCTTGACTGCCCCTCCAGCAGCCCAGGCAAAGTAAGCCAAGTGCAGCAAACCCTGACACACCACCAAGACCAGAGTAGGTTTGAGTGGGAGGAGGAGCTGGGTCCCAGGGGACCGGGGCCCAACACTCACCTCCACCTGCTCCTGACAGAGGCCTTCCTTAGCTCCCAGTCAGCACAAAGGCTGGAGGGGGCGCCTGGAGTGAGGGCAGACTCTGCCTCAGGGCTGGGCTAAGTCCCAGGTGAGGTTCAGCCTGCTCCTCCATCCGGGCTCCCGCTGCGGAAGCCACCTGTGGCGGGGCGTGGGGGGGCGAGTGGGAGTGGGGAGGTGGGGCTGTGTTGTTGATTTTCTCCTCTGTGCCCTTAACTGAAGTGTCTCCTGTGCGCCTAGATGAACATCGCTTGCGGGTCCCTATGTGCTGACAAGCCCCTCCTGGGGACGGATGTGCCCTCACTGGGCCACCCAGCCCCTTCCTCTCACTATCCCCTTCACTTCACTTCTCTAGACTTGTGGCCCTTTGGGGTCACAGGGGAGGGGTCTACACGCAGCACCATGCCCTGAGTCAAGGAGGGGTGCCCCAGTGCCCTCTGGCCCAGCACCCAGTGAAAGGGGAGCCAGTCAAAGTGGATTGAGGCCAAGGCTACCGCCTTTCTCCTCTCCTCCCCATCAGTACCACCTCTACTTCCTGCCTTCAACTTGGAGTCTCCCTGCAGAGCTAGAAGCTGAGTTTGCTGAGGGCTGCAGGTGTCGAGGGAAATGGAACCGGGGGAAGCAGGGTCCCTTCCCTCACACTGAGGGGTGCGGCTGGTAAGGGAACACGGCAGGGCAAGGTAAGGAATGTGCGTTTAGCTTTAATGTCTATTCATACGTTGGTGGCAATCATAGCCCAAGTGTGGGGACCAGACTCCCACAGAGCCTGACCCCAGCCCTCTGTTCAATGGAGGCCCATCCAGCCCCAGGAGGGTCCTCCTGGCAGACAGGGCTGAGAGGGGGGCATCTGCTCCTCTGAGGTGTCCTGGAGAGATGAGAGAAGCTCCAGCCCCTCCCTGACCTGTGCTACTGGAGCCCCACCCACCGAGTCCTGTGTCGCCACCACCTTCCCTCACAGGGAAAGCCCCTGGCCCTCTGGGGAGGGCCGAGCAGGGAGGGCACTGAGGCTGCCACCGGCTCTGATGGCTCTCAGCCCAGGACGGCTGGCTGGGAGAGACAGCCCAGGCAGCACCTCTCAGTGCAAAAGGACATTGGAGACTTCTTCCCTTGGGAGGTCGCTGCAGTCAGAGAATTCCCGGCCGCCCCTGGTCTCCTCAAGCTAGCTGTGTGTCTTCTTCATGTTGTGGAAGAAGTTACAGAATAACTCATACCAGAAGAACACGAGGCCTGTGGAGAGGGCTGCCTTCAGCAGGCTGGGTGACAGACCCTTGAAGAGGCCCTGGGACCCTTCCTCTTGCAGAACCTGCTTGGCGCAGTCTAGGAGGCCCTTGTAGCTTCGTACCTGGGGAGAGGAAGGGTACTCAGATTGAGGAGGGAGGAGGCCATCAACGTAGGGCTCTCTTCATTCATCAGCACGGCACCTGGCATGTCCCAGCTCTCTGTAAACATTGCCGGACAGGGGAATGGATGCAAACAAGCAGAGGGAGAATACGTTTCATTCATTCTCTCCAAGGAGCTCCGTCCGACTTAACAGAGGTAACGCCTGGAAATCAGCAGCTGGACAGAGCTCCTTCTCACGGAGGCCGGGTTGACTGTCCTTAACTGCTGGTTCCTAGAGCCCTGCTGACGGCTCCAGATCCTCTTCCAGTGGGTCTGTGACTCTGGGTTCCAGTCCACCCTCTCCTGCTTGGGCAGCAGATCTCAATCTGGCCGTTGTTACCCCTTGAACTGACCTCCAGTTTGACCTCCGTGCCTCCAGCCTACTTCCTCTAGTTGACTACACAGTGCTGCCAGGCAGAGCCCTCATGCCTCACTCCTCTCCAAATCCTCCAGTGACTCCCGGTGACAACAATGGCAACATCATGAAGAACCGAGGCCAGGCGCCACCAGTCAGCGTTCAAGGTGTCCCACCATCTGGCCTCGACTTCCCTCTCACCTGTCTCCCTTGTGCCCTCCCAGCCCCAGCCAAACCATGGGTCTCCTTTGGGAGCTGCCTCCCTACCCTGTCTCACTGTCATCATCTCCCTGGGCCAGATCCCAACCGTCCCTTCAGGACGAGGTGGAAATGGAAAAGGGAGGTTACAGAAGCTTGTCTGCAGTAATGATCCCATTTTTATTTAAAATGTACATATGTATTTACACATAAAACTACATCCAAAGGTTCTGTGTGGTGATCTGGGGGGAGGTGGTTATGGGTGATGTTGATCTTTCTACAAAGCAAATGTATATTCTTGTGAAAAATAAATATAACTGTAAACCCAGTTCTTCCTCCCCAGGTCAGGTGTGCGCTACCCCGCCCTCCTGCCTCCCGTTCACCCCACGCTGCCTCCTCTACCAACACCTGCACCTGTGTACTCTCCCATCTCTACCCTGCATCTCAGGGTCTGGACGGGAAGCCCTGCCACTACTCCCCCTTCATCCTCCCCACTGTCACGGACACCACTCTGGCTTCTTACAAAATCAGGACTCCAAAAGGAAAAGATGAAAATCCAGTTTGTGAAAACCTGAATGGACTGTGTAGGCAGCGCCTAGTAACTCTTTAAGAACTACCTATCACGGGGTTTCTTGGAATGGCAAACCCTCCTAAACCGAAAAAATGAAATCCACTGCGATGGAGTCGATTCCGACTCACAGTGATCCCCACTGGGTTTACATGACCATAAATTTTAATGGAAGCAGATTGCCTCATCTTCCTGCTATGGAGTAGCTGGTGGGTTTGAACTGCCAACCTTCCTGATTAGCAGTCAAATGACTTACACACTGCACCACCACAGCTTCCTTCACAGAGTTTCTCTGCATGGCAAACCCTTCCATTTAAAATATAAACACTAAACCAAATCAAACTCACTGTCATCGAGTCGATCCCAACTCATAGCGACCCCTCCTTGGGTTTCTGAGGTGGTATCTCTATGGAAGTAGATTGCCCAGTCTTCCTTCTGGCTAGCAGTCAAGTGCCTTAGGCACTGTGCCACCAGAGCTCCCAAAATATAAACACTCAAACTTAATTAATTTACCCCTTTGCAGGAACACATATGGCACAACGTGGAGAACCCCGTGCACTGGCAATGGGTCTCTTCCTCCAGGTTCTTGGTTATGTGAGTTCCCTCTACATGTCCTGTGACCCAAATGGACTGGAGGCTTTTTCAGAGCAGAGGCTAGGCATCTCCTTTCCCAGCTCACTCCACAGCGGCCAATGAACACAGAGGCTTTCCCAAGGGCTTGGGGCCCCTGGGGAATGATGCTGCCAAATGATCCTCAATGTGCCCAGTGAGCAACAAGCATCAGAGCTGTGCGCAGGGGCATGGCTCACCTGGCCAAATGTGGCTCGGGCCTGCTCAAACCCTCCGACCTGCAGCCGCTTCTTGAAGAGGTCCAGGGGGTACGTGAGGGTCTTGCTGATGACTCCAGCTCCACTGCCACAAAGCAGGTTTTTGAGGTTCCCTGAGCCAGAGAATAGGGTTGGGGCAGGCATGTTAGAATGGGGTCTGTCTCTGATAGACAACGTGGGGCCGTCACATCTAATCCTCCAGCACAAATCAGAACCCCACAAGTATCCTTTGACCTCAAAGAGGAATTTATCTAGATGAAAACCAGACAGAGCCAGTAGGAAAGAACCAGACTTGTTGCCCTGGAGTCAATTCCGACTCACAGCGCTCCTAGAGGGCAGAGTGGAACTACCCACAGGGTTTCCAAGGCTGTCATCTTAAAGAAAGCAGATGGCCACGTCTTTCTCCTGCAGAGTGGCCAGTTGGTTCAAGCTGCCGAGGGCTTAACCATTGTAAAAAAAGCCAGGCACACCTAAGAATGATGATGGGGTGCAGATGGCACTGCTGGTGGCAGGAAGGGTGGAGCCTTCTCACAACCTAGCTAGAGGCAATCAGGGACTGCAGTGTGACTCAGGTTCAAGGCTGGACAGGAACAGGATGCCCAACCCCCTCTCCATCCGCCCAAAGTTAAAAAAAAAAACAAAAACGAAAACAGGCAATTTGCAAGTTGGACCTCTGACAAAAATGCAAACCATGACCAAAGGCTGGAAGTGAATGCCAGTGATGCCAGCGAGGGGTGTGGTGGGGCTGGAAAAGCCAAGGCATGTGCAAGCTGCTGTCTTTGTTTGTTTACTTGGCTGCATCTCAGAGTCAGACACAGAGGACAGTGGTGTCTGATCTCCCGGCAGGAAAACTTATTTCACAGTGATTCAGAGGAGAGATCAGGGCTTGGGAGCAAACGCAGAGCGGGGTGGGGACAGAGTCCCTTTCATTCGGGGCTGTCTCACCGTTTGTCTTCCCTTCAGCTGGCATGGCCCACTCATACGCATGCTTCAAGGAGCTGTAAAAGGAGAACTGGAAGCCGGCATAGGGGAAGATGGCAATCAAGGTGGGGTTCAAGCCCTTGTAGAAGACTAAAGGGCCTTCTGTCCGGTACATGGTCACCACGGCATCTCGGAGGGTGTTATAGACCTGGACACACACACACACACACACACCCAACTCAAGTGAGCACAGCATGGTGGTTCTACCCTACCCCCGGCCCAGCTAGCAGGAACAAAACTGCTTACCAAGAGGACAGTCAAAGAAAATACACAAAAAGTACACAAGGTGGGGTTCCAGCAACTCCCCGACCAGAATGTACATGACAGATATACCCACACGGTGTGCACCAAAGCATGTGTGCAGAGATGGCCGCTCTGGATAGACAGTGTCTCTGGGGTGACTGGTTACATAAATTCTGATAAACCCACTCAAAGCTGTGTAGCAAGGCTGTTAAAACAGGATGGTGCAGCCTACACATGATATGCAATCATCCCCAAAATGCAGTTACAGAGAAAGACAAGATAGAAGACACAGGTGAGGCGGGCACAGAGCCTGTGGAGGGCCCATCACAGAGCGCTGTGGGTGCAGAGACTATCTCCCCAAGGATATACAGGACCGCCATGGCGGAGGGAAATGGGGAGCTTGGGGCGAGTCATACAGTTTGATTTATGCTGTTTGGATTTTTTGCCATGTGCATGTACAGCAAAACCTGCAAAAGCTAGAACCTGTGTAAGGTGGAAACCTCTCCAAGATGGAAAACTCAACACTAAAATGAGGTAGGGGTCTTAATAGAGAGGATCGGTAAGCACCCTGTCAAAGGTGGAAAACTCGTGAGGCCCAGAGAACCGAGGCAGTCTCGGTGAGTTCTGGCTCTGCCACGTGTCACTGCATCTAGCCTTCTTAGGCTCTCCACAGGACATACCTCGGCAGGAAGGCCAGGGGGAACTGGTTTTACTCTGCGCCCTTCTGCTAACCCTACAGTGATTGAAATGAACCAGAGGGGCTCTGACTGAGCCCAGCTGAGGGTGTAGGAAGACAGTGCACTGAAATGGGGTGATGGGGCAGAATCGGTTGGTGCCTGGCTATCATTATTGAACATCCTGATCAAAGATTCTACAGAAGAATCCTGATTAAAGAACAATGTGGAAAAAAACTCAAAATCATAAAAAAAAAAAAAGAAAAAGAAAAAAGACCAGGTTTTTGGTCTGATAGAGCCTGGTGAGACCCCCAAGACTATGGCCCCTAGTTACCCTTCAGGTCTGGAACTGAACTCACTCCTGTGGCTTCCAGCCAAACAACAGACAGGCATATGGGGTGAAGATTTACATCAGGGAGATGCACTCCTTGATAGAAGGTCAGTGTTTGCACAGGGCGATAGCTGGGTGTGTGTGTGTGGGCGGGGGTGGCACAGGAGTACATGGGAGGGGAGGACACAGGGAAGAGGTAAGTAACTACAGGGAGGAAGTGGGGAGAGAGCTGTTACACCTGGGGAATTGCAATCAATGTCATGAAACAAAATGTGTATGAAATACTGTATGGAAAATGAATTTGCTCTAAACTTTCACCCAAATCACAATTTAAAAAGAAAAAAAAAGCTTGTGAGCAGCCGTCAGGTGCAACTGCTGGTCTCTCCCTGTCTGGAGCAAAGAGAAGCGAAGAAATCAAAGACACCCGGAAATAGTCCAAAGGCCTGACGGACCATGTGAACCCCAGCCTCCACGACCCTGAGGCAGAACTAGATAGTGGCCGGTTACCCCTGCCGACTGCTCTAAAGGGGATCACAATAGGCAGTCCCAGACAGAATGGGAGAAAAATGTGGAACAAACGCCAAACCATACAACCAGTCCAGGCTTACTGCTCTCACAGAGACCGACGGAGCCCCCAAGACTACGGCCCTTCGCTTAGTCTCTTTCTCTCCCACATGAGCCTGTCTTCTTGATGTCAAACCTGAATTTCAACTTATTGAACAACACTAGACACGTAAAAAAACAAAACAAACACTATGGCCCTTAGGCACCCTTCAAGCCAGACCTGAACTCAACCCTCATGGCTCAACTTTCAGCCAAATGACAGTCTTTCTGAGGGCAAACTGTGCCTCTAGGATTGTCATGGACTTGTCGGAGCAGGGCCACATTGCTGGTTCAACAGCCAGCAAGTATTAGGGAAAGTAATATCAGGAACACACAATGGCCTCTGACCTTACGTCAAGACTCAAGATGGACTTCGGGCTCCTGCTGTGGACCGCAGCCTTCCACATCCCACGTACTCTAGAATTCAAGCTCTTATACATCAAAGTGCCAGTGAACTTTTCTTCAGCCCAGCGGTCACCATGTTGCTGAGGTCTATAAACCCATATTTATAGGTCCTCTCTAACTATAATCATCCTTCTTTCTCCATCGCTCTGCCCCTTATCCCATTTCACCGACAGGGCAGTCACCCCAAAACTCCAATTTTCTACTGAATTATCAAACAGAGCACTTTAGCATTTATGCCCAATTATTTACTTCCAGAGTGTTTTCCTGGGGACTCTCAAACAACAAAGTCACTAGAATATCTCCTAAACAAAAGGGCCATCCACCCCACCCAGGATCTCCACCCTAACCAACACAAAGAACCGGAGAAAGTGAAACAAGTTACTCGTAACTGGTCTTCAATCATATTTTTAAGCAAAGAGCCCTTCCCTACCAACAGAATCCTCCCTTGGTTGGGAACACAAGCACACACGCATGCATGCACGACACTATTCTTAAATACTTTCAGGAAACAGAGATTATGGTGTGGAGTCTACTTCAGGGCTTAATCCCTGGCTTTTGGCCAGTAGGTTCTTCCTTAAGTCTGACTGAAGTATCCCATTTCCTCCCCCATTCTTTGTGGAAAGTAGACCCCATTGCACCATAACCCAGAAACACGCTCTCCCCTCTCACCTTCCCAGCTGCCTTCCCCGGTCAGTCTGCTGCGTGGTATTTCATTTGTTCTGTTTTGTACCTGCAGTTCTGGCTGCCGGTGAGCCGTGAGCTCCTGCCCACAGCTCCACAGATGAGCCACGTGGCGAACTGAAAACCCTAGGCTCTCCTAGCTTTGTTCTCTCTAAGGAAAGAGAACCCCAGTGCCTGGAGTACCTGCCACTGCTCCCCTTCCCTGGCCCTGGCCACTCACCCTGGGCTCACCCTGAGCTGCAAAGCGAGTGCGCAGAACATCGACGGGGTGCACGGCCAGGGTGGCCGCGCAGGCAGACAGGCCGCCACACACAAAGTGCACTGAGAAGTCCCGGGCATCACACACACTGGCTCTGTGCACCAACTCTGTCAGCAGCTCAAATGACAAAAACTGTAAGAGGGAGTGGGGAAGTCAGACACAGCCCGGAGAATGAGGCTAAGACCACACGGTCGCCCAGTACCCCGCCTACAACCCCGGTGGGCCCAGCGTAGGGATGAGCAGAGACTCTGCGGGGAGCAGGGAGGGGACAGAATCAATGCACGATCCCGGGCAGAACTCAGATGCCATCTGACACTCTTGGAGGAAAGCCAAATACTCCAAGGGCTAGGGAAATGCATGGAACATTTTTATACCAGAAAATTCCATCCACTAACTTAATTTTTAGAGAACTAGGAAATGATGCTGATTCTTGGCAGGGGACCCCCTGGAAGCAAAGCATCAGTTGGGAGCACTCCAAGGGGTAGCCCCAATACTCGCTGGCCCTCCAGTCAGCTCAAGGCGGTCTGGTCAGGGAGGTTCCCATTCAGACAGGTGAGAAGTGTGTCTTCCTGCTGGCCTCACCCACCCGGTGCCCCTCCATTGAGCAAGTGTCACCTCAGAGGCCTGGCTGGCTTCCCATCACCTACCTGGACAGCTCCATAGCCTATGGAGAGAAGCTGGGCCGGGATGTGGCCTTTCCAGAAAGCCGAGAGACCCTCTTCCCGCAGAATCTGCCTCCCGGCCTGCAGGATGCCATGGTATTTTGCATTGGGCTCACTGCGGGACAGGCGCTCGATCTGAAGCTGGGAAGGCAGATGGGAAAGGTCACAGGACAGCGGTGGGGACGGGGTGAGGACAGGGGTAGTTACCCAATAAGCAGGGAAGCATGGGCTCACCGGTGCTTACTCACTGCTCAGTAGCAGTTTCACACGTGAGGAGTTAAGTAAGCACCACCAAGCCCTTGCTTCCCCTGCTTACTGGGTCCTCCGTCCCTGTCAGGGACTGTAAATTGGAAAAGAGGCTTTGATTCTGTAGAAAGGTGCTGTGGGGCTGGGAGAGACAGATGGCAGCCACGCCTAGAAGCAGCCTGGATGTGGTGAAAAAATGTGAAATTGTTCACCACAGATTAGTCAGTAAGCACAAGTCAGCCCATGCTTACCTGGATAGCCTGACGCTGGGTGAAGCAGAACTGTCAGAAATGAGAATGAAGGTGAAGAGGTGCCTCACCTTGACCATGTTCTAAGGGCTGTCTGTGCAAGAGACACCGACCTGGCCTCCAGCTCACTGCACAGACAAAGGGGAGATAGGTACCTGGAAACGGATCTTGATGACATCCAGGGGGCTGACCAGCGCCCGAGTGACAAATCCAGACACAGAGCCAGCCACTGCCACCTGGAACTTGGAGATGTTCCTGCCGTCCGCTCTGGGGTCATAGCCGACCATCCCTGCCTCTGGCCCATACAATATCCATCAGCAGCGGGCTAAATGCAAGAGTCGGGGAGCAAGTGCATGGCAGGTTCCTCGTGGTCTCTGCTCAAGCAGCCTCTCCTGACCGGGCCCGCTGTGTCCCCCCCATCGCCCTGCTTCACTCTTCTTTACAGCACTTTTACTCGGGGACATTCATATGGTGCACTTGTTTCTGGACTTCCTTCCCCTAGACTGTAAGCTCCATGGGTACCAGGCTGGGTCTCATCTGTTCCCCCTGGATTTCCAGTGCGGGGAACAGAGCCCACCACTGCCTGTGTGCAGTACATATCTGTAGACTGAATAGTAGGAGGTGGTTCGCTCCCAGAGGCCCCTGGGCTTCCCAGTGCCCACTGGCTTTGGGGGCAGACCTCTGCTGAGCTCCAGCTCTGGGCTGCATTCGAGGGGGAGTAGAGACCACACGCGCAGAACGCTAGGAGGACCATTGGACACACAGGGTCGGAGAGCAGGGCTTGGATTCTCTAACTCACAGGAACCTAATGAGAGCCCAGTGGCCTGAGCCCCTGGGGAACTCCCTTCCCCTCCCCTGCATACAACCAGGCCCACCCTGCTGCAGTGGAGCTGAGCTGTCCTATGAAATAATGATCCCACGCCCCACTGGATCCAGCCCCCACGGAACACTCCAACCTCGCTCTGCAACCCTGGTCCCTTTCCCTGGCTCCACCAGCGTGGAGAACATGGTGCGTACTCGCATCTACTGCTTTGCTTTGTACCTACTGTTCCCATGTCTGAAGGCACTCCCGCCTCTCCCCGCCAGCTCTTCACAAGGCCGGCCCCTCTCATCCACCAGGGCTCAGCTAAAGAGCCTCGTCCAAGGGGCCTTCTCTGCTCTCCTGTCCCCAATACTTGCTGTATTTTCTTCCTGCCTTGCATTCTACCACCTGACAGTGGGTAAGCCCCCAGGAGGGAGGCTCCACAGGGTGAGACTTAGCTGGTCTAATGACAGTTCTATCTGCAAACACAAGCACAGTGCCTGGTGTATACTAAAGGCTACAAAACCCATTAATAAATAAATGATGAAAAATCAAATTACTTTTAGATTATAAGAGTAATGTGGGCCTTATAGAGAAAAGAGGAAAAACAGAAAACCATCTTAACACTTTTTACTTCAAGGATTTCCTTCTTCTTTTTCTCCTGACTGTGGCTTTCTCCTACTTCACACAATTCTGTCTCCTGGCTTTAAAAATGTCAACTGTCACACGCCCTGGAAAGAACAATCATGGGAGAAGGAAGGGCTGCTTATGCACAGGGAGACAGCTCAAGGCGCAGAAGAGTATGGAGGGATGGATACTGGGAAGAGGTAACTATGGGGAGGAAGTGGGAGGGGAGCTGTTGCATTGTAAATTTTGGTCAATGACATGAGACAAAGTATATGTGAACTGCTGTATGGAAAGTGAATTCACTCTGTAAATCTTCACCCAAATCAAAATAAAATTAAAAAAAAAAAAAAAAGCAAACTGTCACAGCAGGTAGCCATGTTGCTACATGATCTTTGTAGTTATCCGTTTAAATGGCTGAATAATATTCCAACCAGTAGCTATGCATAACCTGTGGGGCACGGGGGACTTTTAAATATGTATTTATTTTGAAAATACCTAGTACCACTTTTATCTTGATCATGGTCTGTCTACGTCATTTTGGACTAACGATCGCATGAGACTGACAGCCTTGGAAACTCTATGGGACAGTTCTACTCTGTCCTATAGAGTTGCTATGAGTTAGAATCGACTCAAAGGCAGTGTTTTTTTTTTTCTTCTTCTTTGATCTAGAGAAACACTAGCATGTTATGTATTGCATCATTATTTGTAAGACACAATCCAAGTGCTCATCAATTAAACAAACAAACAAGCCATCATGTGGCCATTCAGTGGATTTCGAGTCATACCAGCTCGTAGGATGGCAGGGAACTGCCTCTTGGACTGCCACACCTTTTTCCCATGGAGTGGCTGGTGAGTTTGAACTGCTGACTTTTTGGTTAGCAGCTGAGTGCTTTCACCACTGTGCTGTCAGGGCTCCTTTGCTCATCGATAGAAGGGTAGCTGAAAACACTAAGTCACTGCCATGCGATGGAATACTATGCAGCCAGGACAAAGAATGAGCCTGAGCTAGCCACCCTCATTTGTATAGGTGTCACAACAGGCAATGTGAAGAAAACAAGTTCAGAAGTGTGCACAGTGTAATCCCATTTTTGTAAAGTAAAAACAGCCAGACCTAGCTACACTTTGTACCACTGTATAAACCATGAATGGAAGGTCAGGAATGAGACACATAGCATTATACATCATCAGTAAGGTATCTTGGGAACTGGGCAAGGAAAGGGGGGGTGGATCTTCCCTACTTCTTTATATACTTCAACAGTTTGAATTTGTTATGAACAAAACAAAACTAAACAAAACCGAAATATAAAATGAACTTAGAAGGGACCTCAGAGGATACCTAATTCTTGAATACCTTTAGTAATGGGGAAGTCACTACCTACCCAATGACAACCTCAGAGCAAAAGTGTCCTTTCTGTCCCTCTCCTCAACCTTATCGTTGCTTTCTTCTCCTCTCACTCTGGAATTCCACAGACTGGGAACTCAGCCCCAAGGCCTCACTTTTCTGGAACATCAAAGTAACATTCCACTTCATCCCAAAATGAACAAGCATCGCCACAGGGCTCTACTGGCAAAGTATTCTAAAATCACGTTTCATTAGAAGTCTAAGAATATGAAACCCCCTGCCTTGGCCAGGAATGAGCCTGCATCTTGGTGCCTTCTCCTCCATACCTCAAATGAGGAGACCTGGCCCTTCCCACCCACTTCTCTGTGACATAACTCAAATTGTTCTCCTGAAGTACCTGTGCTGTGCAGTTTGGAGATGGGGCAGGCAACTGAGAGGCAAGGCCTCTCCCAAGGTTACCCAGCAACTGCTGAGGTCACAGTGGAGGGGGTGTCCCAGTGAGGAGCAGGTATGTAAGTGTTTCAGGATGGGACTGGGGGAGATCAGGCTCCTCACTCTGGGAGCCCTGCCTGTAACTTTAAGTCCCACCGCCTGAAGTGGTAGGGGTGGTTGGGTTTTACAGGAGACATTTCTATAAATTAACAGCTCAGAAGAGCTGACATAACCTTAGGCCTCAGATGAAGAAGGCTAAGTTCAAGTTCTGCCTCCCCCAGGCACCTGGCAAGTTTCTTTATCCTGGGCTGTTTTCTCTTCTGGAAAATGGGCATGATGTCTGCCCTGCTAGCACAGAGAACTGGGAGCATCATGTAAGATGCTATATGTATGTGAACAATTAAGCACAGGACTACTAACCCAAAGGTTGGTGGTTCGCATCCACCCAGGGGCGACTGGGAAGACAATCTTGGCACTCTGCCTGTGAAAGATCACAGCCTTGAAAACCGTATATGTATGTGTATATATATATATATATATATATATAAA